CTGAACCAGCCTGTTTTTTTTTTTTCTCTTTTTCATCCACGTAAGTAAAATGTTTATTTTTCAAACTTTGCCTGACGTGACAGATGCCTGCAGCGTGTCTAAGTCAATATCATGGATTCTAGAGCAACAGAACATGAATGCCAGAAAGGGTCTCATGGGTCATGAAATCTAATCTTGTTCCTTATTTTTACGGACAACAGGAGATCCAGAGAGATTAAGTGACTTAATCAAGATCACAGACCATTTATGTCCCTCTCCTAACTATTTGTATTCTATGACCAGAAACATTTCCAACTATTACCAAGTTGATGCATCAGAGAAATTCACAATTTCTATGAAATCTGTTCTGTCTTCATAAAATAAAAGTCATCCTTCTGTCTCCTAAAAGAATACGTTTTGTTTATCAGTTTTTCTTACAGCAGAATAACCTCTGAATTTGTTTAGCATTCAGTCTGTGGTTGACTACTCTAATTCTAATAAATGTCTCCTTTTTAATGTTCTCTTTTCCTAATTAACAAAGTGCCAAGTAGAAAGAGATAAAGCTATGCACTTTAATTACAATAACCTCAGGCTACTGGGAGCATTCTTATCACTAGATTAGACTGTACCTTTTGTGCTCACTTAAAAAAAAAAAAAAAAACATAGCACTGGTAAAAAAACTTCCTCTAAGCTGTGGATTTGAGACCCAAGGTGGTGAGGCCATCACCCACCACCATCAGGAAGAAAGGACAGTGAGCTCGAATTCCAGGTTTCTTCAAGTTCATGCTGTCTCTGGTCCTTTTTGTGTTCATTATCTTCTTATTAAAAACAGAAAATGACTATTAGGCTGGATTCTTATGAGACATAGGGAACTATGGATGTAAAGAGGTCTAAAATATATGGTCCTTGTTCTCACAGGATTCCTATTAGGTTGGTAAATATAAGAGCAGTATCCTAAGCCCAAGCGTCCAGGAAGTGTAAATGCCATCCTAACATGGCATTTACATCCCCAAACATGGTTTGTTTCATCAAGCTATGGAAGCTGTTTTCAAGCTCACAATTGGGGGCATACACCCATGGGTGGGCAGCTCCATCCAGGAGAAGATGAAGGGATGGCCTACAGGTCTTGATGGCTTCATATTTTTTAAAGCCACCTTTTTCCTCAGAAGGCTGTGATGTTCTCTTTTTTAAATGTCACTTGATTTTGATCTTTCAATGACACATTTTCAACTCTGTCTCCATAGAATGCAGGCTAACTGGAAGAATGGGCAGGGTCTATCTAAGGAGATGGGAGAGGGGACTAGATGGCAGTGTGGAGAAATCATTAACCACCATGTTGGGGTAGAGAAATAGAAGATGTATTCAGGAGGCAACTGCAGACCAGTTGGACCATAATATGGCTTTCAAAGAGAAGAAAAACAAGCCAGAAACACACTTTGGAGTCAGATCCTAAGTAGCATAATATAGTCAACAGAGAAACCAAGGATAAATTTTAACCATGTTGTTTGCTATCTGTGTGCCTTTACTGAGTTATTTAATCTTTTTCTAAGTTTATATCTCCACATTGTAAATATGGCAGTAACAATACCAATTTAAAAGGATTTTGTGAGGATTCACAGAAACAGTATATGAAAATCTTCCAGCACACTGAAAACAATCAATGTATGCTAAATTTCAAGCCAGGTCTTTTACAACCTGCACAGTGTCTTCTGTGGGCAACTGAGAGTTAAGGAGTGAGATAGACCTTGGCTCTGAGGTCGCCTGGGCCAGTTTCGAAGCCTTTGATGTAAAGCAAGTTACCTAGTCTCCCTTAGCTTTAGTTTAGTTATGTACAAGATGGGAAAAATCATATTTATCTTGAAAGATCATTGAAAAATTTAGAAATGTGCTGTTAAGTTCCGAATGTACCTGGTAAGGAGGGAAAGACAGTAGGTTTCAATTAAAAAGATGATGGGGAAAGAGGGAGCCAAAAAGAGGAGTTTTTATCATGGAGATCCTCGAATTCTTGACCAAAGACCCTAGAACCTATCTCATAGGTAGTAGGGTGTTTTCTCAGAGAGCATACCAGAAGATGAAGATGAAGAGAATCTTGACACTGATGAAAACCTGTGGGAGAATGTCAGGATTGTGCACAGGGCCAAGAGAACACCCAGGAAATAGAGAGACCAACCTACTGCTGAAAAAAGCTGGTTTCTTTACGTATGTGTTAGATAATTCTTCCACTACTGAGTGGATTCTTTCCTCTGAAATCCAAGAACTCTTGAATATGTGAGAGACAGAAATGGAGAACGAGGAAGAGAGAGAGAAGACAGAGACGTAGAAAATGAGAGAGACCAGGAGAAAGGTAAAAAAGATACCAAGATGAGGAGAGAGAGGAGGAAGCTCTTCTCAAGGGGTTTCTTGCTTTTTGTGTAAAGACATCTGGTGCACAGCTGTGCTGCATGCAGGTGGCTGAGACGACACACATCCAGGTATAAATCTGGCATCGAAAAACTTCAATTTTCAGCTGACAGATGGGATATTTTAAATAAAACGGGGAATTACTGGGGAGGGTATGAGAACATCATCTCCCCTGTGTTTTCCCACCTCCACCAAGATGTTCCTGAACAACAAGAACAGCTCACTCCACCCTGGCACCAAATCATCAGCTGACCATGCTTCTCCCTTTTTGTCCAGGAGACACCTGGTTAGCACCATGACCCCTAACATTCTGTCTTTTCCTTAAGTTCCTTTTTCAATCTGCTTGCTGTTTTGCTTAGAAATGTGCTATTCTGAAAGTCCCCTATATTTTTAACTCCCAATGTAATGATATTTGGAGTTGAGGTCTCTGGGAAGTGATTTGGCTGAGGAGGAGGCCCTTGTGAATGGGATTAGTGACCTCATGCGAGAGGCCTGGGGACTCTTATTTTGCTCTTTGCCATGTGAGAACTGTCCATCAGACACTGGATCTACTGGTGCCTTGATCTTGGGCTTTCCAGCCTCCAAAACTGTAAGAAGTAAATACTGGTTATATATACACCACACAGCTTAGGTGTTTTTGTTTTAGCAGCCCAAACATATTAAGACAAGGAGAGTGATTTTATTTTTGTGGAATACTTTATTAAGTTCAGTTGTTTTTAATGTCATATTTCCTTTTTTGTAAAATCACCATGTTTTTTCCAGTCATATCAACACTAGACCTCTCTAACAGCTAATAGGCATCAGCAACCTGCCATAGTCAATCTCTCTTGCCAAAGTTTTGACTCTCCCAGAGGCTGCTACCTGGCATGCTCAGTTCACAGCGAGGCCTCCTGCTCACCCAGACCCCAAATGGAGGGTCTCTGCTGCAGCATTGGAAAAGCCTTTACCCCTAGTGGAGAGCTGCCTATGTGCTGCCCAACTCCAGAGCTTGGTGGATCAGTGCATTCCATGAATGACAGCTGAACAAAAACATCATCTGCCCATCCCTTGGGAGACAATGGCTTGTTCTGCCCCCTAAGAATCTCTTTGAGCCACCTTCCTGTGCTGAAAGATCCCATTGTCCTGCTAAGAGCCATGGAAGTGGTTGTCTTTCAGGATGCACACAAGGCCTCTTTTTTTTTTGCTGGATGTGAGAGTATTTATTATAATTTCCCTTCTTTGTTTTAAAGAACTTTTAATGGAATACTTCAAATATGAAGGCATATACATATAGAAGGTGTATATAAAATACCACCAACACTTGTGCATCCAGTGCCTGTCTTAAACAGAGTACTGCACAGCACTCCCTGCAACCCCTGCCTGTCCCTCCTTGTTCACATCCCTCTTGCAATCTCCGTGGGTTAGTTCTATGATTGTCCTCGCCTTAACCTTTCTTAAGAGTTTAAATTACACACATATGTATCCCCAAATAATACATAAAGTTTTACTTGTGGTTGACTTTAGCATATATAGCATCAAATTGGATGTGTTATTTTGTAACTTGCTTTTTTTTTTTTTTCATGAAATCATGTAAGATTAAGCCCTTTTTGTTCCTTTAAAGGCTTATTTTTTTTCACATCCTTTGCTATACAGTACTCCATTCCATAGATAGACTGTAATTCATCTGTCCATTCTCTGTTAGTAGACATTTGGGATGTTGTTTTATTTTTCTTCTAAATAGCAATTTGGGGGTAATTCTTACTATCACTTTTTTTTTTTGGTGGATTGAACCCAGAGCTTCATGCTTGCTAGGCAAGTGCTCTACTCCTGAGCCACATCCCCAGTCCTGCTGTTATAAATTCTGATGCTGTGATATTGTGTTGCACATACCTGTAGAGCAGATATGTGTAAGAATTCTGTAGGTTGTGTAAGTTGTTGTGGGATTGGTGGGTGAAAAGGTATGAACATTTTTTTGACTTAATATTAACTATTTCCAAGTGTTTTGTAAAATGGTTGTACCAGTTTACACATCTAACATGAGTCCCCGTGGATCCCATTCTTGGTAATATTTTTACTACCCGACTCACATGTTTGTCAGCTTGTCAGTACAAAATGGCTTTTTTTCTGGTATTAATCGGTGTTTCCTGAATTACTTATGAGGGAAAGCATTTTTGCATTCCTCTGTCATTGATGCCTCCTCTATCTACTGCCTTGAATTCCTTGGATCCTGATCTACATAGTCAGGATAGATAATAGTGCAAAGGTGCAGGTTGACACAAGATGTGCTGCTTCTCTTTGTGAAGGCCCTGAGGAAGCAGGAAGTGGCCGTTATGGACCTCGTTACATCACAGACATGGGTGCTGGAGAGGATGATGATGGATTTGAAGACGACCTAGATCTGGACATTTCCTTTGAGGAGGTAACAGTCCTCTCTGTTCTGCAAACCCACAGACTTTAGCTTTCTTGCTGAACAAGGCAATGTAGCCAGTGGAGCATGAACATTTTACTTCAAACTTAAATTGACCCATTTGCTTTTAACACATGTTTATTTCCTCTGACTCTGAGGCTCAAGGAGAGCATAAATTAGTAGTAGAGAAGATCCAGCCATGCTGAAGTTCTTGAGACACCGCTGCCTGCTGATCTCACAATATGGCAAAAACCTAGTTAGATTTCCCACCAATGAAATTTTATAAAATCAGTTATTTTAAGGAAATAATAATTCCTTGACAAATAGTGCATCTTTGTAATAATGTAGTAAGAACAGCTCACATAATCTCAGCATTACCACTGATTTTCTGAGTAATAAAAGGTACTTAAAATCTCCATGTCAAGTTCTTCATCCATAAATTGGGGTCAGTGCTTCTGCCCCATCTACATCTCAGGGTTTGGGGAAAGTACTAATAGTGACCATACTTTCAAGAATTCAGCAACCTCCACAGTAAAGCAGTCTAATTACCATGCTCAGTCTTTATGCTGAATTTTTTTCTTCTCTGGTTTTAGGTGAAACCACTTCCTGCTACCAAAGGAGGGAATAAGAAAGTATTGGTGGAAACTTCTCTGTCTGACCCCCAGTCCATTTCCAGACCTGCCCCCACTACCTCAGCATCTTTCCCCACAACTACCGTGGCTCTCCAGCCCACTCCAGCAGAAGGGAAGGGGAAGAAGGGTGTAGCCACGATGTCGAGGCTCTTTGAGAAGTCTTGTGATGAGATCCTCTGCCCTGCTGACAGCTTTTGTGTCAATGACTACACCTGGGGGGGCTCACGATGCCATTGCAACCTGGGCAAAGGTGGCGAGAGCTGCTCAGATGGTAGGTGCTCTGGGGGAAAATGTGGCAGTGATTGGGCCCCATGGAGAGCCAGATGTGAGCACTGTAATCCAAACATGTCTCCTTCTATTTCATTTGTAGGACAAGCCCTTTGCTCCTCATATTGGTCATTAAATTAGCTGAGCAAGGCAAATTGTGAAGCAACTTCCACTGCTTCTAATCGTAGAGTCCAGCTCCTGTGTGTCAGATGGGTAGTCCTTTTGGAACAGCCACCATTAAGTCATCTCAGTAGCACCTTGGAGAGGTAGGCTCTAGAATTGGCTCATCTCTACCAAGAAGCTGCTTTGCCAGAAGAACACGGGCATGAGGGTGACAAGGACCATAGTTGGGCCAATTTACATTACACGAATGTGTAGCTGGAAAGTGATTGGCGGTTGTCTGAAAGCCTTCCACTTCTTTTTAGGGAAGCAAATACCAATCCCCCAAATCCAATAACTTCCCAACACTTTCAAAGTTCCAAGTCCCTAAGAGTGAGAACAGTAGGTATAAAAAGCAGAGAAAAGAAGACATAAGCTAAGTTGAAAAGATCAGCAAAGGCTTCCACATGATGGTAGCCAGGCAGGGGTGTATATTGATTTTTGCTTTTGAAGAAATGAGGCAACACCATCCTTTCATGTTGTCTTTTTGCTTTTCAGATATTCTTATTCAGTATCCTCAGTTCTTTGGCCACTCCTATGTAACTTTTGAGCCTCTGAAGAACTCCTATCAGGCATTTCAGATAACTCTTGAATTTAGGGTAAGGGGCATGAGTCGTCTGCTGCATGCTTATTTGGCACCTTAGAGCATCAAAAGAGAGATGGGGAACAGGCTGGGGAAGCAGGGGGAGGCATCCAAGATCAACCTGACACAGAGCCCGTCCTCTAACCAGATATAATAGGAGCAATGGGCACATTCGGGACAGTTAAAGGCCGAAGCCAAAGTGGGGTTAAGGGGGTGGGGGTAGTGTGTTACTGAACCACCGATCAAGACAAGCACGAAGGTTCCCAGAGAGGATGCTGGGGTCCCAGCAGAGCTGTCCATAGTCATGTCTCCTCCCAGCCAGGACTTCAGAAGTAACACTGCATGCTGTATTCCCAAATCCCCCTTAAAGAGAACCCCAGTGTCTGTCTTCATTGCAATGGCTGACACTGAACCTACCGAAAACAGTACTACCACCAGCCCCTCCCAGAGCACATCTGGAGAACTTGACAGAGGCTCTCTGGTCTGAATCAGCTGCAGATCAGAACTCAGTCAGTTAGTTCAGCTTAAGTGATTCTTTTTAATACCTTTGTAAAAGCAAAGAGGTTTGAAGATCTGGAACAAGCCCCCCTTGAAGTACCTGCCACAGTATCCTCATCTAAGACAACCAGCAGGCCGATCAGATGAATTTTTTTTTCCCAATCCTGGTCTCCCGGTAGTAAAAACCAAATGTGCATGTCTCCCAGGAAGGAATGAAGACTAGTAAAAAGAGTAAAGAAAAAAGTAGAATGCTCTTTGGTGACAGAAACTGGTGAGCGCTAGTGATGTGCTCACATGTGTGCACATGCGCCCAAGTCTTCTGGAGGTTCCGCAGCCGGGTCCACAGAGCCCAGGCAAGAGCCAGTGCGGGGCGGGGGACCTTCCTCTCACCTCCCTGCCATTCCTACACACTGCTTACATCACTACCCCCTGTTTAACAATATGCACTGAGCCTGGGAGTGAATTGGAGCCCACATGCTGGGCACCTTGGAGACAGGGTACGGCGGGCGCAGGCAGAATGCTGAGCTTGTATATTCCTGAGTGCGTCCAGATGGCGCCCCCTGGAGGACCAGGCCATCACTGCTCATGTGGCTTTTCTTTGTGTAACAACAGGCGGAGGCAGAGGACGGCTTGCTGCTCTACTGCGGGGAGAACGAATATGGAAGGGGCGACTTCATGTCCCTGGCTATCATCCGACGCTCCCTGCAGTTCAGGTAACTCTTGCCCAAATCCCTACCAGTTTATTAAAATTCTCCTTACATTATATGACAAGTTCATAGAGTAAGTAAAATATAGAGAGGATGGACTCGTGTAGAAGAGGAGTGCGGAGCGGTTTCCCCAACACCGAGCGTCAGGACTTCAGGGTGCCTTTGAAAACCTGGGGTTTGGAACCTGCCGCCCCATTCACCCAGCAGCAGACAGCTCTGGTGCACCCAGCTCTGATGCAGCAGGAAGCTGGAGGTCAACCCTTCTCTGCTGGGGCTCCAGTGGACTTGATGGGAAGAAGGCTGCAAGCTCCTTCTGGAACCCTTGGGGCTACAGGGCTGATGGCCACAGAGAGCAGAGAGGAGCCCACAGCCTCCAGAGGGTTCACAGAGGCTCAAGCCACGTCCTCTATCCCTCAGGGCTGTGGTGAACCCAGTGGGTTGCCTCCTCTGCCCTGGTCATTCCTCCCAGCACACTTTTAGAAGCCACCCCTAGTACATGGGTGGCCTTCCCAGGACAGTTTCAGGGAGGAGTGAGGGGTATACCCAGTATCTATTTGTGAGTGACCAGGGGGCTTCTGCCTTGTCATTCTCCGTGGTGCTTGGCTGAGGTCCCAATGGCTCTGTTTCCCTGCTGCCTCACCTACAGCACCTGACATCACCTCTCTGAGCTTGCATCTCTCCAGGACCTCAGTGGATTGAATGAGTTTACCTGTACAGGTGCCTGGAGCAGCCCCCCTCACCCCACAACCCCATCTCCTCAGCAAGCACTTGAGATGCATCAGAGGTTATGGTCTCTTTATATTATTTCAGCATAAAAAGTAATTTTCATGTAGAAAAACTTTTAAGCATCCCAGTTGAACTAGAAAATGGACCTTCATTCTTCGCTAAGTGATTTGATTTCTGGAAGTTTTATGGCAGCTGCCAGGATTGGGCAGTGGTTCTAACCTCATGGGGCTCTAGCACCTGGAGGTTGGGAGAGATGCACAATAGCTCTGGCAGTTCCTGGCTGGTAGCAGCTCTTAAGCTCTGCAGTGCACACTGAGTGATGCTGACATCCCCCTCTGTGAAGCCTGTGAACACCATTCTATTCCACTGAGGTCATTATGAGAAAATGGGAGGATAGGAGAAGAGGGCTGCGGACTGTACACATCCTAATAAGGACAATGCCCATCACACCTTCTCCTAGAGAAGCACTCTCAGGATCCATATGCAAGTGGCATGGTGGCTGTTTAGAAGTTAACCAAAGAGGACCAAAGTTCTGCCTCTCAGGCATAGTGATGATCGGACAGCCCTGGACCCTAGGGAGGTTGGGAAAAGAAAATAATGCAGCCACCTAAGCATGCTCCTCCTCTGCCCCACGCCTGGCCCCAGAGCTGGAGGCTCCTATAGAAACCTCACCTGTATGTGGGTACAGCTGCCCACAGATGGCAGGGCTGGCCGGCTTGCCAAAATGAGTGTGAAGACTTGGATTTTTGTGTTTTATTAATATCACTCTGCCTGTCATTTGAGAGATGGGGAAAGTCCACAGAGAAATGTCTGGAAGCAGAGTGGCTCACATTCTAATTCTATGCACCTCAAACCCACTTTCCACATCTGGCAGTATCTGAAAAAGAGAAGGGAGGGCTTTGGCTGCCTGTCATTTTCTGAGCTGCAGAGATGATCCATCGAAGAAGACACTATGTCCAAAGGCTCCATGGACAGGTTAAGGAGAAATAGATGGAGCCTCCAGGGAAGAGGCATCTTGCTCATCCAGGCTCAGGTTTACACAGCTGCTGATATCTGTAGGCACAGCTCTGAACAGATCCACTCTGGAAGGAGCTGATGTCCTGGAAGGTATGTCCATAGAGTCTGGAAACACAGTGAGCTAATTGTTCAAAGAATCTTCCTTCCCTTTTCTCCTAACAGGTTTAATTGTGGAACAGGGGTCGCTATCATTGTAAGTGAGACTAAAATCAAACTGGGGGCCTGGCACACAGTGGTGCTCTACAGAGATGGGCTGAATGGGCTGCTGCAGCTGAACAATGGCACCCCCATGACAGGCCAGTCCCAGGTAAGGCTCACATCCTGCCGGCCCACTACCACTTACCCTTGGCTTCCGGAGAGGGGCTCCCTGCAGAGAGCTGAGGCAGGGTCAGTCAGCAGGATGCAAAGGGACCCACACCACGGCTTTGCCAAGCTCCTGCTCTGCTCCAGGTGAGCTTTCAGGCCACATGCACTGCAGGGAGACTTGAACAGGCATCATTGCTTCTGGGTGCAGTGTGCCCAGGAACATGTTCTGCATCCACAAGGACATCACAGGGACATGGAAGCCAAGGAAAGCCCCTGTTGGAAGAACAGTCCCTCATCAATGTTAGACACAAAGCTTCCTTTTGAGGCAGGAGGGTCAGAGTCCTGTGGCTTTAGAAAATAGCTGGAAAGATTCCCTTGGTTCAAGATGCAGGAATAATGAATTCAGCACCTTTGTGGAGATCATCATTGTCGGAAGTGGGGAAATAATTTAACTGTTGGGTTACTCAGCAAATCACCTAGGAATTCATATATTTGTTATGCTCTGAGTAATTTGAAGACTGTGTTTAGGGTAAAGAGCTCAGGTTAGCAACCTGCCAAGACACGGAACCTGTAATAATAAACAGGCAGGTATCTGTGTTCTCTTAGGGCAAATGGAGCAAGGAAACCATTGTGTATATGTCTAAGCTTCCTCCCCTACTGGGCTCTTAACTACTCTTTTCTGGCAAGGTATGTTATATAAAGGGTCATGTCTTCATGATTCTAAAGGCAAAAAAAAAGTCATAAATTTGGACCCAAAGTTTCTAAAGGAACAAAAATCCAAATGTAATGAATGTGAGTACAGGGACACCATTTATACCCATATTCCTGGAGAATAAAAGGGCAGGCAGGGACTGGGGCTGTGGCTCGGTGGTAGAGCACCTACCTTGCACATGTGAGGTACTGCGTTCGATCCTCAGCACCACATAAAAAATAAATAAAGATATTGTGTTAAAAAAAAAGGACAGATAAATGAACCACAAAGTCACATCAATGCCAGAACAATAAGACAAACTTGATAAATGAAATTTGATAGAACTAAAAAGACTTCAAACTTGGACACAAAATACAAACAAGAAGACAGGATGTTAAAATACATGCAATGCATGTAAAAATCTCCTATAGTTTAAAGCAAGGAAATTCAGTGATGATGAAAAAACAGAGCAGTAAAAACAAGATAAGGAAAGTATAGGCTGCATTAATAGAGGCATAGAACATAGAAAAAAGGTGGTAACAGTCTTTTTCTGTTCTAGTGACTATATTATAGTTTCCAGTGACTGTAATGGTGATTCCAATCCTCTAAAAGGATTACATTTGTTTCTGTAATAACATTCTAAGAGTGCCACAAAAAAATAGGAGCACATTCGAGGGCCAGTCACCCACATAGGAAGATGACTTAAAATCCTTTTAATGATTGATGGAAGGAGTATTTGTTTAGATATGAGAAGATGAGGGCACGTTGCTTTTCATTGCAGAATGAAAAAAAAAGAGTGTTGGGGAAGGAGGTTTTATTCAGTTGACCCCTAAGCCTGAAACAGAACGGGAAATGCCTTGGGGAGACCATTTTTAACTTCACCTAATCATACAAAGATGTGAAGAGGTGATATAGACTGTCTCGGGGATGTTTTCCTGCCCTTGGGGGGACAGGTATTCAAAAAGCAAGTTATCTAAACCTTTGATAGAGATGTACAAGGAATCTAATGACTAATGTGAGTTCAGATGACTTACGTTTTCACATTTTTTCCAGTCTCCTAAAACTACGATTTTAATAAATATAAGAATTAATTGCAAAACATCAGGTAGTTTTTTTGTGGGCACTCAGGGCAAAGTTTGCCTCTACCCTACTGGGACTTGCTGAGCAAGTCCATAAGCAGGACCACAGATGTGGAATATTTAATAAACTGTCTGGGGAGACAGCAATTCTCTTTTAAGTTTGCTTCCCTAGAAGCAAGCCTGAGATGAGGAATCCCATACAAGTGATATATTAAGAAAATGCTCCTCAGGGAGAGTGGTAAGGGAGAAGAGAAGATGAACAGGGAAGAGGAAGAAGTCAGCAAGGGCCAGATCTCAGACACAGTTCTTCAGTGTGTGGCTCCGACCTGGTCCCCCAGTGGAGCTCTGGAGTATAGATTATACCTCAGAGTTGTCTCAAACTGTCAAGGGCGGTTCTGGGGTAATGCAAACTCCAGATCATTTCCATTTCTGCAGGCAAAGCAGTCTCCAGGGACCCAAAATTAACCTCATGAGAGGTAAAGGCTTAAAGACAGCTGCCTGAGAGCTGTTGTGAAGGGCTCCTCCAAGGAGACACCTACCCCCTCTGATGCACTTAATGCTTTAGAAAGAGAATGAGCTGTCAGTTCACCTGCTTCCATCCTAGATCAGGGGATAAGACCCAAAGGGTGAGGATGGGATCAGGAAGAAGAGAACTCTGAAGATCTTGATAAGATAAGCCAAGAAAGTGTTTGATTCATCTAATGAAAGCACTGTGTCCAGCAGCTGGCAAACAACTTAATTAATCCTCCAACCCCACTGCAACTGCTGTCCTGCTCAGTCCCCTATTAACAGATGATTCTTATCTGTGCATTACAAAAGAGAAAAATAATGATTACATTTCTACTTGCTGGAAACAGAGTTAAAAGGATTCAGATTCGTGTGTTTATTAAGTTGTGGCCAAGTGCCTTTCCCCAGATCCTGTGTTTATCCTTTCATTCAAATGAAGGAGATATTTCTTTCCTAACAAAAACAAAGAATATGGTACCTTAATTTTCTCCTACTAATGTTCAGCTCTATATTTTGTAACCTCCAAACCTGCTATCTGGATTGTGGTTCGGTCTAAGATTGGAAATTTCCCTGCCTTGCTGTAATGACATTTTTAAAAACAAGTTGCATCCATAGGCCAACTGAAAAATATCTTGCAACACAATCTGTTTGGCAATTACTCCCCTGTGGTGTTTTCTGCAGTACATAGTATAAAGGCGGTTTGGTGAGTGAAAGGGTAGGTATTGGCCCACATATACCCAAAATTAGTATGGCCACCTTTGGGGGACAGTATAACCCTATGACCCGTCCAAGGTACACAGTAAATTGGTGTCAGGATTGGAAAGAGAAAGGTTGTTTTGGGATGCCTGGCATGGTCCAGAGCCTGCTGGGTTGGTCTGGGCTCTGACCTCCCTTCCCTTCCTTTCTGGGCATTCCAACATCTTCCCTGCAGGAAGCACAGCCCCCTGGGAGCTCCCTGAGTTTCACATGGTAACTGTGGGTCTCATTTCTCAATAGGGCTATGTCTTAAAGACAAATGCTTGTGAAAGAGAACCCTGGGACTGTAACCTGCATCTTAACAGCCTTCTTTACCAAATTCTGCTGTGTTTTGGCTTTTGAGTTTGTTTCGTGAGATCCTTCTTATTTTTCTTAAAGGGCCAGTACAGTAAAATTACCTTCCGGACACCTCTATATCTTGGTGGGGCTCCCAGCGCTTACTGGTTGGTCAGAGCAACGGGAACAAACCGAGGCTTTCAAGGCTGTGTGCAGTCGCTTTCGGTTAATGGGAAGAGAATGGATATGAGGCCTTGGCCGCTGGGGAAAGCCCTTAGTGGGGCTGATGTGGGTAAGTGACTGCCCAGTGGGTTGGGAGGGTTTGTGGGGTTACCTTTCTGGTTTGGGCCAGGAAGGTGAGCAGCCAGAAGGACTGCAGAACTTCAGGGGGGAGGACGGTGAAAGCTGGTGCCCTGTGAACATGTTGACCTTGACTCTGAGCATATGGTATCAATAGGGTGAAGCAAACTCTGGGACGTACCCTGCTGCCATCTTAACCTCTGCTTGAAATGCAGTGTGGGCGCACTGGGCAGAGCAAACGCATCAGCCTTCTCACCCCAACTTTCCCTGGTCCAGTGTAAAAGCCAACACAATCGTATAAGAAGAGATTTTCTGTGTCCTCTGTTCTACAGGAAGAAGGTCAAATTCTCATTTTTGACCACCACGCCAAACATTTTCTGTCTTGGTTCCCAAGGCTGCAGTAACACAGTGTCACAGATCGCATGGCCTAAATATCAGCAGTTCGTTTTCTCCTGTTCTGGAGGCTGGAAGTCCAAGGTCAAGGTGCAGGCAGGCTCTGCTTCTTGAGGCTCTTTGTTGAGCTCCTGGCTGGCTGGCTGCTCTCTGGAAGGGCCTCACGTGGTCTTCCTCTGTGTGTGTGCCCCTGGGTCTTTGCATCCAAATTTCCTCTTCTTCTAAGTCAGATTGGACCTGAGCCCCCCTCCCAAGATCTCATGTAACATTAATTACCTCCTGAAAGGCCTTATTTCCAAGTGCAGCCACATTGGGAATGAGGGTGTCAACCTATGAACTTTGAGGAAGATACAACATAGCGCCTATTGGTGACAGCCGTGAGTCTCACTCCGGCTCATCAACTCTTACTCATTCTTTCACTCAATAAATACTTATTTGAGCACATGTTTAGTGCTCCGTCTCAATGCTGAGTGCTAGAGATGAAGTGATGAACGAGACAGACAGGTCCCAGCTGGGCTGTCATGCAGCTGCCATGAGGAAAGACCTCGTCAATCAAATAATGCCACGAATCAAAGTAAAATGACAACTGGGGAAAGTGTTACAAAAGAGAAGTGATAGTGCAATAATCGTGTGTAACAGGGAGATTTTTAAGGCCTGGGTAGAGAGAGGGTCTCTAGTGAGTGAAATGACTACATGATTTCAGGTAGCCACCAGAAGACATATTTTGAGATATTTGCAACAAATGCAATGTAATGATACCTGGGAGATCACTAAACTGGCAATGAACTTGAAGTTCATCCCCGAATTAATAGTTCAAGGAAGGGCTGGGCAGGTAGCTCAGTGATAGAGCATGTGCTTAGCATGCACAGCCCTAGACTTAATCTCCAGCAGCAAAAAATGGGGGTTAAAAGAATTTAAAATAATGGTTGAGAGAGACACTCAATTCTGGTCAGAACAATGAGGAGGTAATATTTTCCCCATCTAAGTTCACGGACGCCCTGCACCATTAGCCTCTCTGCTTATTCTACTTACTCAGTCAGATCTGTCTTCTCCTACTTAAACAAGTGCCACAGTGACCCTGGACTGGAAGCCCAGGGAACCTGTCTCCTTTCTTTGACTCTGGACTCCCACAGAAGACATTCCCACTGTCTTCTTGTGCTTAAAATGGAGCCCAAGCAAACTCCTCCTCTGCTTCCTCACTTCATAGCCCCCATCCCTCACTCTTGGCACGGTTATTCTTGTCTCCAAGCTACACACCTTGAGATACTGCTGAAGTCTCCTTCCTCTTTCAGTTTCTAGAATGAATTGGTTCTTTGGGGGTATTTCCTCTGCTCTCTCCCTGTTCTATCCTTGCTTACCTCCCCATGGGATTTCTTTCCTCCCCCCTCCCCCGCCCCTCATCAGTCACCTTGGCCTTGCATGCCATTGCCTGCATGATCTTGCCGAAACTCTGCTTTCATCAAGTAAATACCCTGGCTGGTTTTCACATGCAATAATGTCAAGTGATTTCTTCCATGTGCCTCTGAAAGGATCTGAGGACACCACGTTTCCTCTGGAAATAGGCCTCCTCTGAGAAAGAATTGCACTCCACAGAAATAGGTGATGCACAGGGACCTGTGAGAGTTTGGCTCCTTGCCACCAACACTGGTGTCTCTGTGGAGACCGAATGCTGGGTGCCATGTTCTCAGGTTTGTGGCTGAAGAGAGGCCACAGTCATTTCTACCAGAATTCCCAGTGTCCAACAGCTAGAATTCACAGAGTGCAGCCCATCCCAGCCTGGGTGGTGCTCCCTCTAAAGGACTTTAACTAAATCCTGTTAGCAGCCTCTGAAGCCAATCTCCTCTCCTGGGTACATGCTAGGAGCACCGCTCTGCTCCCAGTGAGTCTATAAAAAGACAAAACTGGACCAATGAAAGCAGGTGGCTGATCAGGAAAACACGTGACACTTGTCCTACTGAGATGACACAGTCAGGACACGGAGGGCCCCTTGTCTCACAGAGGGGCAGCTTCCAGCCTACACAGGTGCCATGTTGGAGACTGGGGAGGGCAAGCGCCACAGCTGAACTCCTCGGGCCCAATCACAAACATTCCCCCTCTGCTTCAACCCGGCAGCAGGTGTTTTGCTCTACCCTATGTCAAATCCATACCACTGGGCCGGGTTGTGGTCCCTGTGTCTAAAGAAAGAATTGGAGGACCAGAGAAGCAGAAGGAAAGCAGCCAGAGAGTGTCCATTTGTTTCCCTTCATCTCATAATCTTGAAAATAACAAAGGAGTCCTCTATGCAGCTCTCTGAGGTGTCCGGTAGGGAGAATGGGCCCATCTGAAGCTGACCCTTCAGCAGTCTTTGCTGGAGGGCACCTTGCTGTCCTTCATACAACTGTAACTTTGGAAATAGAAACAGGGATTCCACTTGGCACCGTGGAGCCCTCCCCTCCCCGTCCCTGTCCCACACAGAGAAGTCCACAGCCCAGACAAGTTAATAAGCTTAGGCATGGCTGCTGAACTCCTCCAGCGCTTATCCTGCTTGTCTCAACTTTGAACCAACAAGGCAGCCGCACTTAAGCTAATTGGGGTCACACAAATTAGAATGCTTTTAACATAAACACTCTGTTGCCATCAGAGGGATTGAAATCCACTCTTGCGGGAACAACAGAGAGATGGATTAAAGCAGGAAAAATTCAGTCATTCCCATGGGTGGTCCTAAAATTGCCCAATGATTTATTATTTGATTTATTGTGTCAATCATGTCTTTAAAAGTTCCTGAGGCTCTTTAGAAAGGACAAGTCAAAATCATATGAAAAAGAAGAGAAGTTTCCACTTATGCTGCAAGCCAGTGTGCAGCCGTGCAGGGGTGCAGACCAACAGGAGTGGGGACCAGGGTATAATTTTTCAGGGCCATGAATGTCTGTGTGGTTGCACGGTAGTTGCATGGCTGGCCTGGTGGATTGGCTTTTTCCTTCTCTTCTGCATTTAGGGGAGTGCAGCAGTGGAATATGTGATGAGGCCTCGTGCATCAATGGTGGCACCTGCACAGCAATCAAAGCCGACTCCTACATTTGCCTCTGTCCCCTTGGGTTCAAAGGTCGACACTGTGAAGATGGTGAGAAAGAAGCAAGTTGATGGCAGTTTTTATCTGCTTGTTAATTTGCATGTATACGATATTTCATCAGTGCACTTTTAGCAAAGCCCCATATATTTTTATGGGATCAAGATTACTTTGTTGGGAGGGATGAAAATAAATCAGAGTGCCAGAGTTCCAAACCAACCAAAGATACATTCACTTTGAGATGCTAAGCTTGGGTGGGCTCCTCATACCTTTTAGAAAGCCTGCATTTGTGTGGTTTGTACCACACTGAATTAAAAGTATTTAAAGCTTATGCTTTTTTTAAACATCTGACAGTTTCAGAGAAAAGTTTGGGAAGGCATACACAGAAATTAATGATATGATGAGACAAAAGTGCTCTTATTTTTCTTCTTTTTATGGTTCCACTGAGTTATTCCACCTTGTAATATTGTGTGTATATAAATCTGTGTCTATATATTTATGTACACACACATATGTATACATGTAACACAGGCATGCAAACACAGGTGCAGAGTGGCACATGAAAATAATAACTGAAAATCTAAGACTTGGGAAAGCATACAAGCTTGAGGGTGCTTAATATATCCAGAATTCCAAAATTAAAACAAGACTAGAGCTAAGATCACTAAAGGAAGTCAGATTCCTCTGTGAGTGATTCAGGTTTGGACCTAAGATATCACACTGGGAAAGTTTAAAAAAAAAACAAAACATAATCTCAAATCCATACCACTAAAAGGGTACGTGTGAGTCAGAATGTGCCAGTTGCACACCATCTCATACTTTAATAGTTATTCTTGCTCAATCACAAGTCACTGCAGGTCAGTGCTGGTGCTGTTGGTTCTGCTCCACGCAGTCACTCAGGGACCCAGGTCCCTTCTACCCAGTGGCTCTCCTTGGCTCTTAGAGTCCTTCATTGATTCCTGCATCCAGCCAACATGTGAGAAGAGACAGCAGGAAGGATGGAGGGAAGTGTTAGGGGCCAGACCTGGGATGCCATTTGATATTTTCAACCCCATTCCACTGGTCAGAATCTAGTCACCCTACTTGTCCACCTGTAGGCAGCAGGGAAGTGCAGGACAGGTCTGTGCCCAGGAGCAAACTGACACAGCCCTGGGATTCCTAACACACAGGGATTCCTAACACGGTGCTTGTTCCTTCAGCTTTCACCTTGACCATCCCTCAGTTCAGAGAGTCTCTGAGATCCTTCGCTGCCACGCCCTGGCCCCTGGAGCCCCAGCATTACCTCTCCTTCACTGAGTTTGAGATCATGTTTCGGCCGGACGCAGGGGACGGTGTTCTCCTATACAGTTATGACACAAACAGCAAGGACTTCCTGTCCATCACGATGGCAGGCGGCCACGTGGAGTTCCGTTTTGACTGCGGCTCTGGGACTGGTGTTCTGAGGTGAGATCTGACACCATCTGCAGCCTCCCCCCACCAAAGACCAAATTGCCCTCTACCAGCCTGTCCTCCTCCTGTCTTCCCTACACTGTTCTCTTTGGAAACCTCTCCTGCTTCTTAAAGATGACAGGCTTCCCTCCTGCCTGCAAGTTTCCTTTCCCAAATAACGACCCAACAAGTAACGATTCTCTGCTCCAAACTGTTAAAAATGGGCTTTTCCCCCATGGAAGGTAAACTGCCTCCATTTCCACCTGCCGTCATGCTCTGCCTTCTGCAGGAGCACGGTGAACTGTAACCAATCAGCGCCTGACACAGAATGTCAAGTGGAAGGGCTCAACCAACACATGTTGACTAGTAAAAAATGTATTCACAAATATTTAACCAATAAAAATGTCCTTCATGATTTCATTTTAATTTTTAAATTTCCTCTTGAGCTATTTGTTTGGTGGTAATCAGATATTTAGCAAGTCTCTTACTTAGTGTTCTCTCTATGAAGGAACCTGACAATAAATCATCAACATAGCAAAGATCAGAAAGTTCCAGAAGGGTGTGTGATGGGTGCTTTTTAGCAGCATGGCAGTACATGGGTGCCTCTAAAGTGTTGGCTGATATTTGCAAGATTGTTCTGACTAGGCAACACTTTCCTCCTGTTATCTAATTTGTACTATTAAATTCTGTAGCAGATCGATGGTTCCTGTACAAGAGATCAGTATCATTTTGACTCCCTTGGAGCCTGTGTTTTGCAGGTGTTGGTGTTTTTCCTACTGGTTTCTGTCTTCCTCTGCTCACTGTGTTTCTTTCATGGTAGTTTTAACCTTCAAGCCTGAGGGACACTGATCTAATGCAGGCATTCTTCTTGTTCCTACATTTGTCTGATTCTTCTCTTTTGAAACTCACTAGGGTGTACTTAATGGCACCCTGCAACAGGTTATCAGTTATTCTGTTGTTGTTGTTTTAAGGGAAATTGCTGGCTGTATTCATATTTCTAGCCTGTCCTTTTTAGAGAGTGTGTGGGTGAGATGTTACCACCATGCATTGCCCTTAACTGCTGATCATTTTTCATAGCTGATGGGAAATGCTCTCTGCATTAAGTTCCAACAATTATTTGAAAAGTCGGTTTATTTTTGTCCTTGTGGCTGAATTCCCACACATCGGTGACACCTCCCACCTTTGGGAATGGACAAAACATTTTTGTATCTCTGGTTAAGCAAAAACATCCTATATCTTAGCACAACTTTGGTGGGTATTTAATTGATTCCATTTACATATGATTATGCAAAACAGCCGGAGCAATTCACTTAGAACTATATGTCAAATTTAGAAAGGAAGACACCTTGATATCACCTTGCTCTTTAAATGGCTTCTTCTAGGTAAGGAATGATGAGAAAGAGCTTGGGAAGGACAGGACTCATCAGCCTCCTCTAGACAGCCTACCCTGTCTTCCTGCCTCTCTCTGGGGGCAGCTCTAGCCGTGGTCCAGAATTTCTCTCTTGCCCAACTCTGTGTCTGTTTTTGACACATTGTAATTCTAATGTTTTTTAAATGTAAGTTATTTTCCCACCTGTCAGGAAAGGTGATTGGAAAGAGAATTCTTGAGTATTAGATATTGAAAACGAGGCAAGAGTCTCCAAGAAACAAACTGCTACCTGACCCTGGTCCCCTCCTCTGCCCACTGGGACCTGACAACAGTGATCACAGCTGGTATTTCAGATGCCTCTCTGGAAGCTATTTATTTTGAAAATCATTTCGAAGACTTCCCACTTCATTAAGAAAATTCAGTGAAGGGCTGAACTGCAGGAAGTTGTAGAATTGGCCAAACCATTTTGACTTCAGGTAAAGGACAAGATGGTCAAAATCATTATGAACTTGATTCAAAAATAAAGACAATCGGAATGAGCTCTTGATGGCTTGATCAATACACTGTGTGGAGGGAGGAAGCTTATTGACAGCCACTGACCTCGGCAGGACAAGAACATGACAAGAGTGCTGTTAGTTATTATGGAAGTAGACCACTTTAAAGGAGCCTCTTGTTTCTTTATTGCATATTGATTTAACCAAGGTGATTAAATTCTAATTGCTAAGGACAAATCACAAAAGCATTTGCCTGAGCTGAAGAATCAAATGAAGGGGTGGTGACCCTTCAATAATTGTGCCCATCGGTATTCTTTGTGGTTTTCTAAAGATGATCCAGGACCAAAAAATAATTGGGAGGTTCAGTGAGGGCCAGGAACTAGAAATACAAATGCAATAATGATACTCTTTCTGCACACCTCACTATAAAAAAGTAATGCATAAAACACCTCTAAATATCATTTAAGCTTCAAGCTCTTCCACCCCAATTTAGTAATTGAATTTTAAAGTAATTGTAATCCTTTTCATAACATCAGAGAACATAGAATCTATTTTCCCTTGTCTTAGTCCACTTTGTGCTGCTATAACAAAATACCTGAGACAGGGTAATTTATAAGGAACAGAGACTTATTTTTCACAGTTCTGGAGCTGGAAAATTCAAGGTCAAGGGGCTGCATGCTGGCAGGGGACTTTTACTGTGTCATCCCATGGCAAAATGTAGATGGGAAGAGAGTACACATATAAGAGAGGGTGGAAGAGGAAGGGATCTGAATCTGTCCTTTCACTAGGAACCCACCCCCACCGTAACTAACTCACTCCAGTGATGTTGGTCTTAATCCACTGATGAAAGTAGAGTCCTCTTGACCTTATCGCCTCTCAACACTATTAACATTGAGACATTGAGGATAAGTTCCCAGCATATGGACTTGGGGGGACATATTCAAATCACAGCATCTCCCCCAAATTTCATTATGAAAAGTTAGAAAACATTTAAAGAGTTATAAATATCATTATATCTAACACCTGTAGTCTATAATTAATGTTTTGCCACACTTGATTTATCATATCTATCCATCCATTCCATCCTTGCTTTATATGCATTTCAAAAAATATTGCAGGCATCCATATACCAAGGAATCTGTTTTTTGCACCATACCTATATAATTTTTCTCTTCTTCAAAGATTGTGCACAATTACTATAATGTTTTACCTTCATGTCACCTTTTATCCAGGAAGCCAGATCTACTGTGCCCACATTTCAGTCTTTTTCAAGGAAGAAATAAAATTATAAAAGCAATTCTCCTCCCATGAAGGCATTCAATAAATGGTAGTCGCTACTGGTTTGTTACTAAGTAGACATTGTTTTCCTTTTGCTGAATGGATTGAGTTAACTAAGGTTTGTATTAGTTTTTCATAACTAGATTGATGAAAATTATCCATAATATACTAACTAGGGCTTAGTTTCCATCCATATTAGTCAAGATTATCATCAAAACAGAACCTATAGGTTAAATATAGATACACAGAAAGAGTTTTATCTAAGAAACATTGACTCACATGGTGATGGAAGGTGAAAAGTCCTATGGTCTGCCATCTGTAAGCTGAAGGTTCAGAAAAACCAGCGGTGTAGTTCTGCCCAAGCCTCCAGGCCAGAGAACCAGGGAAGACCCTGGTGTAAGCCCCAGTTTGAGTCTGAAGGTCCAAGAACCAGGAGGCTAAAGGTCCATGTCTGAAGACCTAAGAACTGAGAGTGCCAATGTCCAAGGGCAGGAGAGGATGGATGTCCCAGCTTCCTTAGAGAGGAAATTCACCTTTCTTCCATTTTTTTCTTCTATTCAGGCCCACAGCAGATGGATGATGCCCATCCACATTGGTGGGCCATCTTCTTTACACAGTCTGCCAACTCAAATGCCAATCTCTTCCCCAAATGCCCTCACAGACTCACCCCAAAATAACATCTTACCAGCTACCTGGGTATCCCTTCGCTCAGCCAAGTTGATAAATAAAGTTAACGTACATGTCCCTTCCACAGGAGTGAAGACGCCCTCACCCTGGGCCAATGGCACGAGCTTCGTGTATCTCGCACAGCGAAGAATGGCATCTTACAAGTGGATAAGCAGAAGACAGTAGAGGGAATGGCAGTGGTAAGAGCAACCCTTTCTCCCGACTGAGAGTGAAAACCAGGTTACTGTTTTCTACTGAACACAGTGGAAAAGCAGCACTGTATAGTGTTTGAGCACACAGACTCCAGTGCCTGGATGGAAATCCCAGCCCTCCTCTGGGCAATTACTTTTTTTTATTCCTTAACTTTAAATGGGCATAATAATAGTACAGGCTTCATAGGTTTGCTGTATGGATACGTGAATTAATAGTTAATAAGGTGAGCCCTGAAAAAATTGCCTTCTCTCCCCTTTACCCCCTTTACTACCCTGTCCTTATGGGCAGAATCAATGGAGTAGATCAGAACACAGTCTGAGGTAGGGTCGGTGGTACAGGAAAGATTTGTCTTATAAAAACAGACTGTCAAACCATAATGTTGGCATTCAAAATCTAACTTCGTTACTTACTGATGGCATAAGGTCATGTTGGTTACTTGACCTCCTAGTTTATTTGTCTCATCTTACTGCCGCAGTCTGGCTGGGCACAATCAGGAGCCACTTGTCAAAAGAAACTAACTTTATTTTTAGAACCACACACGCCAAACAAAACAGCCTCTCAGGAAAAACCCTCAGAGCCTCAACTGCCACCACCGGCTTCCCACAAGCCTCTCTCTCCCACACAAGCTTCTCTCCACCTCCCACAATCCTCCTGCTCTTGAGGCGATTGGCTGGGTCACGTGGGCGGAGCCAAAAAAGTCCCCCAATGAGCAGCTCCGTGGTCTGAAAGGGCAGGGAAACAGCCCAATGAGCATCACCGCAGAGGAGCCAATCAGCTAGATGTTGCTGGGGCCGCTGTGAGCCAATCATCAGCCGGCAGCTGGAAGTTTGCTGGGGCCCCTTCGGCTGTGGCTCTCAACATCTCACTATTATATTCACACAGTGACCGTAATGACGATGATCGTGACTACTTCATAGAGTGGGTATGAGAAATGCAAGAATTATCAATACAAAGCACAACAGGACCTGGGCAGCACTATGTAGCTTTACTTACTATTAATTATGGTGATGATTATTACTGTGTTAACGTACTATTAAGGAACTCAAGGGCAGAATATTTACTGGAGTTTGTGACTTTCCTCCATGATTTCATTTCTAGGTCATGTCCAGAGAGAAAAAAAACATGACAGAGGCAATAAAGGAAATTTGCTTAAATCACTAGAATTCTTCACACACAAAAATCAGAGCCTCCCAAAAAACAGAGAGAACAGTTGGTTTCTTAACAGTCTCCATTCTGGATAAAGTAAGATTTAAGGAGGGACTAGCAAATTTTGGTATCCTGACAAGCAAATGTTTTGATAGAAAAAGAAGGAAAAAAAGACCTTTGTCGGGAAAAGAGGTATTTGGCAGAAAAGACAAAGATAGATATGCCCAGAAGCCAGCCTTAGAGACTGCAGCACTAGGGGGGCCTGAACCAAGAACCCCCTTAAGATGAGAAGAATCCCAAACTGGGTCTGCTTGAAGAGGTAGACACACCTAGAAATTGTCCCATATATAATTTGTGGAAGGAAAGTGGGAGGAAAGGAGGAGGGAAGACAAATGAAGGAAATCAAATTTTGAAAGGAGAATTGGAGTCACTTCTGGTACAATCCAGAACATTCTAGCAGTATAGACCTGACTGGCTATTGGCTTGAACATATAAATTTTAAATAAAGGGAGGGAGAAAGGAAGGATTGTATCAAGCCCTTACAGTCATTTGTAAAATAGGAATGAAAGCTCAGGATGGAAGTTTTGGAAACAGTAGGGTTATGACCTCCCATTGTAAGTAAGGAGCTCTTCAGCTCATGGTATTTGCTTTTAGGATCCCAGAGACAACCCAATGGTAACATCAAAAACACCACACTTAAGAGTTGATGTCATCACCCCACGAGCGAATGAGAATTAAACCAATACCCTAGAGTCCACTCTCCCTCTTGGCTTTTTTGAACTGCCTGTGGGTGGACGGAGCGGATTGGAGCCTGTGCCCACCTGGAGCAATGTAAACACGCGGGGAGGTATGCCTATGGCGTGTGCACTTGAGGAAAGCTCCCCTGCAGCTTCTCAGCCAGGCATGGAAAGCCCAATGGCTGACCTTAGTCACCCACAAGGCCCTCTGCTCCAGCTGCAGGCAGTGGAGGGCTCCCAAAACCCCCAGTGGTGGTGAGGGTGTGTGGTCGCCACCATGCAGCAGTCAGGTCCAGGCAGGGAGCACCTGACTCAGCAGCCCTCCCTCTGGTGGGTCTGTTGGCTTCTCTCCTGGTCCTGTAGGTGTGGCAGCTGTAGCCCTGCCTCAACAGGAGGGTGACGGGGGAGGACACTGAGTTGATGTTTTAATCAGCTTTTTCACCACTGTGACTTAAAGACCCGACCAACACAATTGTAGAGGAGGCAAAGTTATATTTAAGGTTTTATAGGTCTCAATCCACAGAGAGCCAGCTCCATTCCCCAGGGCTTGAGGTAAGGCAGGACATCCGTGGAGGAGAGTATGGTGGAGGGAAGCAGCTCACATGATGATCAGGAAGCAGAAAGAGAGAGAGAGATCTCCATTTGCCAGATACAAATATATACCCCAAAGCCGCACCCCAATTCCAGCCTCCTCTAGCCACACCCTACCACTTCAGTTACCACTCAGTTAATCCCAATCAGGGGATTAATTCACTGATTGGGTTAAGACTCTTACAGCCCAATCATTTCTCCTCGGAACCTTCTTGTGTGGTCTCACACATGAGCTTTAGGGGGATACCCCACATCCAATCCATAATAGCTGCCAAAAGGAATGGATTCTTAGTCCCTGAGGCCGGTCTCCATGCAGTGGACACAATGAGAATTCCATCTTTTCAGAACAGCCTGCAGCTCTGAAACCTGGTGGGTCCTACAACCTTGCTCCTTTTACCTTACTCTTATTTTAACTCTGGGGTAAGAGCAAAGGCAAGGGAGAGAAACACCTGGGTTTGTGGCAACAGTTCCTGCCTGGTTCTGTATTGTGTTGGGCCACGAGACTTCCTGAAAACCCTTTGGCTTCTTTGATGACCCTCCAGTTAAATAAGGACCCATGGAGTTGTCTCAAGGTTATGGATCAAAGAAAATTTAGTCTATTAATCTAATCAAGATTTCCCTGGGCTACCTGAATGGACCTAGAACCCTCCCAGAGAGAAATGAGCAACCTCCTCTATGATCTCTGTCTCCTCTTCTTCCCCGCTGACATGACCCCAAATCCATTTTTCTCCCTCTGACCAGTAACCTTCCTAAAACATACCTCTCCCCCTCCCCAACCCCACCTCTCTTCTTTTTAAAACTCATTGCCTTTTGGGTGAAGTGTAAACCCCTAACATGGCCTCTAAGGCTCTGCATGATCTGACTTGTCCTTTCCTTATATACTTCTATACCCTCCAAGTCCTGACTCCTTCCAGTTTCTCCAGTCCTCTTGCCTGACCATCTTGCCTATTCCTATGTCTAGGGTTAGGTAAGAGCCATCCCTACCCCTCAGGTGCACCCACAGGAACCTAGACATCCTTTACCTGTGCTGAACCCATCTGCCCATGGGCTTGTCAGTCTTCCAACCAGTATAACCCCTGCAGCACAGGTACTGTGTCTTTCTTATTTGCTCTTGTTTGTCCAGCACTTAACATAATACCTGGGACCTAGTAGTTCCTAATAACATTTATTAAATAAATGATGGAATCATACTACTATTTGTATTTTTTTACCATAAATCAAAGAAAATAATAACTTATGTTACCTAATAACTTGTTTGTCCCCAGGATTCTCAGATCTTTATTTATTGCTGTGTGTTATAACAGTTCAACAGTTTGCTCATGGCTCCTGTTGGAATGAGCTCCGACATTAACTATTATGTACAGATTGTAACCTAGCCCAGCAAGAAACAAGGGAAGCCTTTGGGGGATTGATATTGGGAAGTTCCCTGAGAATTGAGAAAACAAAGAATCTCTCTGGCCTTTGCATTTGGTCTTGAGGAACAACCATCTGCCCTGTGCCCAGCCTCTCTTTCTCTTGTTGATCAGGGCTTCTGAGTTACCCTTATTGAGTTACCCAACAGCCACATTCTGGAATGCTGATGTGCATCCAACTCTGGGAAAAGTGCTAACTACACAGTATCTCAGCCTCCAGGATGTGCTGGACAGGGCTATGGTCAGTCACAGGCAACCCCAAAACATATCAACAGCTTAGGACAAGGGTCAGTTCTTGCTCATGTCACCAATCATAGTAATCCACTTTAGCTTTCATCTGAGACCCTGGCTGGAGGAACAGGGAGGGAGAAGAGTGTGGTGAACCAGCCTGTGACTCCAAAGACTCTCCCCAGGGATTCATTTCTCTTCTGCTCATGTTTATTGCTAAAGCAAGCAACACGGCCCAACCTGAGCTGGGCTATTTAGAGGCAATCTTCCAACAGGGAGGTATTGCTGGAGGAGCACAGAATATGCTCGCTGTGGAACACCTAGGAGGTAGGTGATATGATTCCTGTTTTGGTGACACTGAGTCCCAGAGATGTTACGAAATTTTCCATCATCCAAGTCCATGTTCAGGAACAATGGGAAAGTCAAGCACAGATGGTTATGACAGGTCTTGAGGCCATCTCCACCATTTGGATCCCCAACAGGGAACCAAAGGCACATTTGATGGTCTCAGCCAGCTATTCTAAAGTTCTGTTGTGATTTGCCACTCTGATCTCTTGGCAGGGAGGCTTCACGCAGATTAAATGCAACACGGACATTTTTATTGGTGGAGTCCCCAATTATGATGATGTGAAGAAGAACTCAGGCGTCCTCAAACCATTCAGTGGGAGTATCCAGAAGGTACAGACTCTGCTTTCTCACTTTGACTTTACACAATAAAGACGTTTTGAGGTTTTAAACTTTTAAAGGTTTTTTTAAAAAATGTTCGCAGCATAGTTTCCAAACCCACTTTCTTGTAACACTTGTTTCCAAGTCTGTGTCCAGCAGACATTTCATGAATGCCACTCAGGGAAGATAAATTTTTGTAGGAAATCTACCAAAATATTATGGGACTACTAGGGGAGGCAGCTGGCATCAGGTCACCACAGATATTTCTACAATAGGGAAGGAGGTGAGGGGAAGGGATAGCAGCTCTTGGCTCAGGCTGCTCTGATCATTACTTCGCAATTTGCTCAGCCAACTCCTCAGCCAAACAAAGAATCTCTCTGGCCTTTGCCTCACCCACCCCTACATTGGAGCAGTTGTTGCTCATCAGTCATTTAACCAAGCTCTGAAGAGCATGAAGAGAGTCCTTTCCTAGAAGGTTCACTCAAAAAAATAAAGTGGAATAGAATTAGCTGGTCAAAGATATTGACTACACTCATTTCTGTCTCCTACTCCTTTTCTTTTTTTTTTTATTTATTTTTTTATTGGTTGTTCAAAACATTATAAAGCTCTTGACATATCATATTTCATACATTAGATTCAAGTTGGTTATGAACTCCCAATTTTACCCCAAATACAGATTGCAGAATCACATCGGTTACACATCCACATTTTTACATAATGCCCTATTAGTAACTGTTGTATTCTGCTACCTTTCCTATCCTCTACTATCCCCCCTTCTCCTACTCCTTTTCTTGGGGCTGTTATGATTCCTCCAGTTGTGAGGGCATGCTCTGCCTGCAGTAGACACGGCAGGTTGACTCACCAGCCCAGGCCTGCCGGACCACCACACGCTTAGGAGAGGATCTGAGCAGAGCATCTCCTCTCTGGAGGTGTCAGCTCCATCCTCCTTTCCTTTAGCAATCAAGGTGCTGGGTGGGCCATTGCTGGACCTGAGATGAAGTATGAGAGAGGCTAAAATGAAAGAGGGCCAATGAAAGAAGGTTCTATCATGTTTGCACATCCCGGCACTGAAGTGCCCCTTGGGCCTGTGTCCTTCTCATCCCAAACCTCAGTGTTGAACCTAGGGAAGGGGCCCATGACAACATTTGCTGGCTCTGATGTGCTTCCCTTTGTTGCTGAACCGTGATGTCAGTGACACCTCAGTTCAGGTCACCATCGCCCCCTGAGTGGGATTGGCCCTGTTCAATCATGCTTGATATTGCCACTTAGGACACAGGCTGAGACGATAGGAAGCAATGTTCTCTCTGTCCACCCTTCCCAGGCTTGACTCTTCTTCACACTACACACACAACTGTTCCCTCCTCACTTTCTAGAAAGACTGCTCTTCCCTCCTTCTGATGGAGTCATTGGCTGTGCCATATCCAACAGGGCACAGTGCCAGTTCTGGCTTGTCTTGAGGACACACTGCTCAGTTCCATAGCCCTTCAAACTTGCAGCAGGCAGAGGGGAGATTGTTTCTCGCTCTTCCCTAGCTGCTTATCCCACTCGGCACTGGGGAGAAGTTTTCTCTTTCAGTGCTCTCCAGGGGTGAAGCAAGCCTCAGACACATGGATCCTTGGCCAGAAGTGCCATTGCTCACCTCTTGTAACTTCCCCAGGCAGTGAGGGCTCTCTGTCTCTGAGATCTGCAAAGCCAGCAATAACTCAAAGTAAATACACATCCTGGGTCAGGGGCCGAAAAAGTTGGGTCTACTTATTTGCTGCTACGGAAACTGGGAACCCCTCCCTCCAGTCCATCAATTTGGTTAGAGCCACATTGCAGGGAAGAAGGTGTGGAGGAACTCTGTACATACACACACAGCAGTCAGGGAGGCCCCGTTGATGGCGTTTTAGGGGACACAGTACAGTTTGTTAACAAAAGCAGGTGGAAGTACACCAGGAAGTTTTCTGGGTTCCACCAGCAGCAATGGCTCCCCTGGATTCCTGCCTCCTGCACCTCAGTTTTATCTTCTCCTTACTCCACTTTGTAGCAGCATCTCTTAGCCATAGCTGCTACTTCCACAGTTATTCTTGGAAACTTTCAAAAGGCACTAGCGACTGGGTCCCACCTTCAGGGACTGGTTCAGCTGATCTGGGTGGGTCTGGGCAGCGGAAGTGCTTTAAAGCCTCCAGGAGATGTTACTTGCAGCCTGGCTGAGGACCTGGACTTTGCATTCTCAGGTGGTATTCTAGGATCAGAGGCACACTTTCCTCTGTAGATCTTCCCAAGTACTAAACAGATCTCCTTCAGCTCCTGCATCACTTATAAGTCTCTTAAAGCAGTAACTGGGCTCTTTTGACTTTTTTTCTAAACTTCCCTATGTTTAGCTTGGGTTTTCATGCCACGGGAAACTCTAGAAGACCATAAAGATGTTTTCCCAATTTCTGACTTTCTTTACATTTCTCTCCCTCAAGATCATCCTGAATGACCGAACCATCCATGTGAAGCATGACTTCACGTCTGGTGTGAATGTGGAGAATGCAGCCCACCCCTGCGTGGGGGCCCCCTGTGCCCATGGGGGCAGCTGCCGGCCCAGGAAGGATGGCTATGAGTGCGACTGCCCCTTGGGCTTCGAGGGCCTGCACTGCCAGAAAGGTACACCCAGGGTCTCAGGCACAGCTGCCTGGAGGGAGTGGAGGCCACGGACAGAATGTTGGGAATCACCATTCTTAAAAGAAGTTGGTACAATCATAGTGGTTTTTGTTTTTGATCAGTGGCTACAATAAGTTATCAATGGCCAATCATATATAAACTACTACAACTATGTAATAAGAATTAAATGCTGAAATACTTCTGTAACAGTAGGCAAATAGCTTCCCTAGCCACCTCTCTTGGTCCTTCTTTGAGAATCCCCTCATGGTCTCACAATCAATATAACAGGGGTTTCAGGACTAATACATCTGACCCAATCCCAGAACCTGTCCTGGTAGGGGAATGCCTATGCATTATGGTCTGGTAAATATTTTAACTAAATATTTTGACTCCTATCGGTGAGTGCTGTGAAGAGAAATCTTGCCCAAATACAGAAAAAGGTGAATGCCACATTAGTTGCTAAGTATGCATGTCCTTCTGTAGAGTGCTGTTTTCCATGCTACCAAACCACTCTGTGCCTCAGTTTTCTGAATTGTAATATGGGAATGGCCATAGCAATAGTATTTACTGAGGATCAGTGTGTACACTAAATGCATTTAGAGTATTTGAAAGAGTGCTTGCTAAGTTCTCAACCCGCACCAGCAATTATTATTATCACTGTAGGTAAAAAGCAGAAAATCTTCCAGCAGGTGCTGTGAGCTATTCTGTTTTCATCTTGCCCTTGTCTGATAGCTAGGCAGAGTCACGGGCCGTGAGTTCCTGCTTAAGGGAAGCAGAGGCCATGGTCCTGTGTATAGAATAGTCCTGCCCACATATGTCCATCAGGTTGGGCTGTGTGGACCCTCTTGTTCTAAATGTCAACATGGCCTCACCTGCCCAGGAACTAGTTTAAAAACAAAAAGCAAAGAGATCTGAAAGAAAGAAGGCTGTGGCCTCTAAAGGAATGCGTTCTTTCTCCCTTTCCTATTTGTTTCCAGGCTCCCTGTTTTGATCAAAACTAGTGCTTAGAGGTAAACTTTAAGTTACAGGTAGAAGCTTTGGTATATAGTAGGGTAGGAGAAGTTGTTTTGCAGCAGTCTTGGAAAAGCATGAAAGATAACAGCCTATTAGAAGACTTAGTGATATGTCTTGCATTTAAATGAGTTCTGAAATCTGCATAGTAAATCATACAATATATCTCTTGATAAAGAAGAGGAAATGATCCGCTTGTGAATTATCCCAATTGCAATTCTAACAAGCAAATTGTTGCTGAGCTAATAGGTTACACTTGTGGAGATTTAGTTCCAGAGTGGCCTATTCATTCAGAAAACTGGGTTTTGATTTCACACTTCAGTGTTTAAATTCCCTTACTCTCCAATCTTACTATAGGCATTCCAAGCTTGCTTCTAATACTGACAGTTAAAATATAAAGTCTAGATGTAAATGAAAACCTAGCTTTGGGAATGAAGAGATCATTTGCGATCTTGTTAGTGCTTGTTTCCTGCTGTAGAACATTGGCCATAACAGATACAAAGTGCTCACACTGGACCTGGGTTCAAGTCCAATAACAAACAGATCTCACCACAGCAATGGGATGGATCTCAGTGAGGACCTGGGCTCCTGGCAAAATTTGAGGGAGTGAACAGAGGCAGAGGACACTGGAGGGCATCCAGACCTCTTTTCCTACAGTGTAGGCTAGAACCAAGATTAAAATCCAAACAAACCCATCTGCCATGCATTTTGTATCAATATTTCCTTCAGCTATGAAATCAAGATACTGTATCTGGCAAATACGGTGCAAATACAAATACTAGGAAGGCTCATATAGATGGAGGTATGGCCAGAATCCCATAATTTCCTCCCTGGTTATAATGACTTGGGAGGATTAAAGGGGCTCTGGGCCAGCCTTCCCAGGCCCCATCAGGCACACAGCTATGGGCAGTTATCCTACAGACTGCTGAAATACTGGCATCTCCTCCCTTGTAAGGATTGGAAAGAAAGGGAAGAGAGATCCCTAGAAATAGAAGAGAACACCGTAAGGGCTGGGATATAGCTCAGTTGGCAGAGTGCTTGTCTTGCATGCACAAGACCCTGGATTCAATCCCCAGCACCACCATCAAAAAACAACAACAACAAAAAAAAAAAACTACATCTTTTAGAGAATTAGGTATTTGAAGTTACACTCAAATATGTGACTGAAATAAAATTCTCATCAACACTGACACTGATAGAATTTCAACTTTGTTAAGAAAAGAAGAAGAGAACACGCTGAAAGTGTTTTCATAGCTTGAAAGACCAAGATCAGTTAGAAGCCATCTTTATTTGTTAGAATTCTGTCCTGTTCAGCAAAGTGATCCTCATACATTTAATAGCTGAAGGAGGTTTTCTGCCTGGAAATCAAATCGTGCTTTAAAAGCAACGGTCTATTCCTAGTATTCTTGGAAGTTAAACCAGTTAAAAAAAAACATGGAGCAAAAAGTTGTAGCAGCTCCCAGTGCCAGGCCTCACCCAGTCCCTATTGGAGGTTTCTCCATGAGGAAGGTGCTCCTTTCTTCTCAGCGAGGCTAGTCCTCTCTGGACCCATCAGAACTGTAGTGGGAGATCCGACACTTGTTCTCACGTCTGGGCAGCACAGGAGGATGGGACCAAACAAACTCAAATAAATTCCAGAGTCGGTGCAGCCCACAGACTACCATGATGATTTAGAGACCCCACTTTGTTCCTGATAGATCGGGGCAGAACAAAGAGGTGGGCATCAGCTCCTGCCCAGTTTCCTGAGAAGTTCCTCAGAAGTCTCTCTTAGTTTCTCTCCAGCATCAGCAACTACACAAAATTCAACCTTTCCCAACTCTGGAACCCACCAGGAGAGAAGGAGCCAGAGGTTCTTCAAACTCCTAGCCTTAGAGTCAGGCACCGGTAGAACCCTAGGCTTGACTTGGGAGCCCTCCCCACTTTCCGTTTGGGGTAGTCTCACTTGTAGGCATCATCTTCCACCTCAAACTTCAGCTCCCTGCCCCTACCCCAATCCCTGGACCTCTTCTCATCTCACAGAAGAGTGTCAGCAAGGCTTCCCCCCCACCCGCCCCACCAAACTCTACCTTCTTTCCTCCTTTCTCATCAAAAATTATACATCTTGGTTCCCAGTCCCTCAGAGGTCTTCTAAGTAAGTTACTAATAACTTGAAACAGATTTTCACAAAGTACCTGGAAAGGAAATTAAGTTCTGAGGAATTAGTGACTGTTTTGTGCATCCACATATCTGCTCACACCCACATCCTCTCACACACATATTTTCACATGCATAAAATGGGAGCAGGGGTCTGTGGTTAAATTAGCTTGGGTAATCTGGATAGAAAATCAAAGAGCTCTGTCTTCTGCAGTACTTCTCAGAGCCTCTGCTCTGTTCTGAATGTCCAGAAGGGGGATACAGGACATAACTATTCTTCCTGGGTTTTGCCCTGCCAAAAGCATCCAGGTCACCTGGAAAGAACTTCTGAGCCCCAGTACTTCCTTTCTTCCTTTTATTACTGAGAACAGCTTCAACTCAGATGGTGCAGTATCTTGCCGGCCACTAGATGGTACTGTTTCTCTGTAGCAGGTGGGCTGCTCAGCCCACTATAGCTGCAAGAGCAGAGTTCATGAAGCCTTGGCTTCAGGCATACATTCCTCAGGAACGCGCAGTCCTCAAAGTCTGATCCTGCCTGATTGATGCTGCTATATCATTCATGCAACGTTTAGGATAGTTTGTGCTACACTTACTAGTTTCACATCATGTTTCTGAGGCTGATTTTGAGCTCTTTTATTGGTCCCAGTGTATAAGAATTTATTTTCTTCATATAGTGTCTCATTAAACAATGGAAGATTTTGTGTGTTGAGACTAGATGCTGATCTTTAGTTAGCTGAAGGGCTAACAGTATAGGAAAAAAGTTTGTCTGTTTGTTTACTTTGTGGCTACAGAATCCACTTAATACAAGGACTGTCCCTTATCCAAACTGGCAGGGACTCAAAGTGTTTCCAATTTTGGATTTTTTTTTCAGATTTTAGAATATTTGCATATATATAAAAAGATACCTTGGGATGGAACCCAAGTCTAAGTGTGAAATTCATTTATGTTTCACATGCACCTTATATTCAGAGGCTGAAGGCAATTTTATGCAGTATTATTAGTGCCCTTGGATTTTGATTGTGGCCCGTCAGGTGATCTCAGATGTGGAATTTTCCGCTTGTGGTGTCATGTCAGACTTCAAAGGTTTGCAGCATTTTAGAACAGATTTTTGGATTAGAGTTGCTCAACCTAATAAGGAATTCTGTCCAAGAAGGGAGTGTGCTGCCCTATGGATTAGTAAGCTGCCCATCCTGAAAGTGTGCATCAGGTTGGCCGTGTGTCCACCAGGAATGTTGCCGAGGGTCATCCTGGATGTGGGGAAGCTAGTGGGGAAGCTATCAGCAGTGGCCTTTCCTCCTAGGGCCTGTGGGTGTATAACAGAGCCATCTGTCCCTTCAACTCCATATAGTATATTGGGAATTCTAAGTTCCTTAAATGGGGAATTTACTTTGTTTGAGCTGTGGGAATTTTGGTTTGGAAGCCATTACTCAATGGCGTGGGTTTTGTGTGTGTGTGTGTGTGTGTGTGTCTAAATGGCACATGCTTAAAGGAATAAATGCCAGGGCATAACAGCAACACCTTTTGACTAATACATCAGTAAGACCATAGCCACAAAGAAAAGAATGCAAAAAACAAAACAAAACAAAAAAAAAAAAATAAAGAGGTGAGATTAAAGTGTAATCATGTTTACAGTAGTCTATATAAAAACCACAAGGGGCCAGAAAGGGCCGGATGGTCATGTCTCGCTTTGACATTTTTGGATGGAATTACTGTTTCTCCATGCACACTGGTGAACCTGGTGGCACTTAATGCTGCATTCAATGGTGTCATTTCTGCAGGATGACTTTACCCGTTTTTAATCACAAAAACAAACAAACAACAACAACAACAACAAAACAGGTCTCTGGAATCTTGCAAAGGGGAACTGGAGGGGGTTAGGGTAATGTTTTCCACTAGGGGAGAAAAGAGGCTGCAGACTGGCTCATCATGCCTTTGTCACATGCAGCCTAGATCCAAATAGAGTAAAAGCCATCAGCAAGGAATAAGCTCTAGTAAGGAGCTATTTCTCTATTTCTTGGGGAAGGAACTTAGCAGAAAAATGAGGGGGGAGAGTGGACCTTTTCTTGTAGGTTTAGAAGAAAATTAGATTGCTGGTTGAAGATGAGGGAGCCCCAGAAGTGTCAGACAGCTTGCTGTAAACTTCTTGGTATGGTGCCCCACATTCCCCATTTAAGCTGCAGTGGGGGAAGGGAAGTGGATGTGCTGGTGCCAATCATGCCCAGGAGAGAATTTCCACAGTTTCTGCTGGGGCCCGCATTCACATTCCATTCTGGACCCTTGGGAGGACTTTGTGGGGGAAGGAGCAAAGCTGGTTTCTATCCCTCTGTGAGCAATGTGTAGTCGAGATTTTATATAATAGATGTGTGCACTGATTCTCCCTGTTCTTTTCATGCTGACACTGGGCAGAGTGTGGGAATTACTGCCTCAATAGTAAGTACAGTAATTGCTGTGGGCCCCTGCCAGGTCAGGCTCTGGCCAGGCGGTGGCACAGTGTAGGCCAACCAACCACGTGTGAGGGGAACCTGGGTGCATGGTGTGGAGGGCGGGGGGGCGGGGTCTTGGACACACCAACCAGGGTGGTGGGAATCTTCTCTGCAAGAGCGCAGACCCTGGGAACACACTTAGCTCCCAGCTGGACCTCAGCAAGCGCCTGAGTTAGCAGGCAGCTGACCCGGCTCCCACAGACGGACCCCTCCTGAGGCCCTGTGCAGAACTGATGTGTGACAAGCATGTCCTGGCCATTTCAAAGAATCCAGGGGAAGGACGACTGTTGGCCACAGGCCCACAGACACAGCCAACAACCGCAGGATGGACCCTGGCTGTATCTCTCGCCCTGGGGGTGAGCCAAACCCAGTGGGGGCCTCCTTGGTTATGTTTAGTGTGAAGGACTCTCTGTCAGTCAGCCTGGATGCTGTCTCCTCCCTTCTCAGTCTCCTGGGATGAGGGGCTGCTGACCCACCAAGAGCCCCCTCCCTCCTCCTCCAGCTGCGCACACTGGAGCCCCTTCCAGGCCTCCCATCTTCTCCTCACCTTCGTCCCTGGGGCTCCCTCCCTCTTTCTCGGCTTCCCCTCCTTTCCTTGCCCAGTGGCTGCCTGTCCACCTGCGTCTCCTTTCTCTCCCAGCCTCTTCCTCCTCTTTCCTGGCATTTTCTTTTCTCCCTTTCTCGCTGTGGCTTTCTCCTCGTGTCCACGCTCCCCCCTCATTTTCCTGCTAAGTTCCTTCCCCAAGAAATTGCTTGGGTAGTTACCTCACAGGTTCTCTTTTAAAATTTCATTTCTCTTTCTTTTCTTTTTGCGTTTTCTTTCCTCTTCCTTTTTTCCTTTTCCTTCTTTCCTTTTTTTTTTTGGAAGAGAGAGAGAGAGAATTTTTAACATTTATTTTTTTAGTTTTTGGCGGACACAACATCTTTGTTTGTATGTGGTGCTGAGGATCGAACCCGGGCCGCACGCATGCCAGGCGAGCGCGCTACCGCTTGAGCCACATCCCCAGCCCTCCTTCTTTCCTTTTTTCCCCTTTATGAAGAGGTCGTGGGAACATGTCATGGTAACCTGCCAACACAGGAACTCACACCTGAAGGCCCAATGTCTGCAGGTTTCTTTTCTCCTGTTTTTTTTTTCTCTCTCTCCCTCCCTCCTCCTTTCTTTCTCTTTCTCTCCCATCATTCCTATCTCCAAATGAGCCAAATGATCAGACCTTTCTCTCCCAGGTGTGGAGTCCTCAGGCAGTGTCTACTTTGTGTGAAATGCTTTTGTTTTATGAAGCTGTAATTGTTTTGTAAGCTGGTTAGTCTCTCATTTTACACATTTTTTTCTTTTTCTTTTTCTTTTTTTTTTCCTTTTTTTATTTGTTCTACTTAGTTGTACAAGACAGCAGAATGCATTTCAATTCACGGTACACAAATGGAGTCCAAGTGCAAGCACATTTTTTAAATATGAGATTTATTGCACTTTAATTTCTTTAAAATATTGTTTCTGTATCTTTCTAAAGAGGAAAAGAGATATTGCTGTTATCTCTCTTGCAGAAATCCCCTCACCTCATCCCAATTTGTGACATCAACATGGTGGCTTGTCCTGCTCCTTTGGTGTGTGTCAAGGGAGATTCCTCAGGAAAACAAAGTGATGAGAAATTAGGAGGAAGGAAATTCATTTCTAAAAGATTGTAAAGGAAGGAGAGGCCAGGAACCAGAATTAAGGGGAGCTAGCCATTCATGGTGCATTAGTGGATGATCTTGGGCAAATCCCTGATGCTTTCCGTGTCTTGTTTCCTTCTTCTGTAAGATGGGAATAATCAGCCTGCCCTTCCCCCACATTCCCTGCTTCTTCGTGAGATCAGGTTGAAGACTGCAATATCACACTTGGAATGTGATATAAACTAAGAGTCAAAGTCTCACACTGCATTTCCCCCATCGACCTCTCAAGGTCATAGCTAAAGGGGTTTAGATAGATTCACATTAAATAAATCCTTGTGGGCCTTGTTTAGGGTTTGTTTTCTCTGCCTCGCTTGGCGATGATCTGGGGTTATCCCCAGCTGCTCCCCACATGGCCCAAGCCCCACTCTTTGGATTCCAAGAATCACTGGGAGCACTTCAAGTTTCAGCACATTGCAAGACCTTCTCAGTAGTGCTGAGACCAGTGACAGTGACTGCCAGCCTTCAGGGAGAAGAAAATGGGAAGACGCCAACTCCGACTGGTCTGCCCTAAACATGCAAGTGGGTGTGCAGCCAGGAGGAAGTTGTTCAATGTGACATTTAAGGGTCTGGCTTTCTTGGTATGTTCCTGTCACGTGTATGAGTGAGAGGTCGAGAGAGGGGCATGCTACATAACTTGTTTTCTGTTCTGTCCCAGCCATCACAGAAGCCATCGAGATCCCGCAGTTTATTGGCCGCAGTTACCTGACATATGACAATCAAGATATCCTCAAGAGGTAACAGGCTTTGATAGCATGAATTTCTCAATATCTTTCCCAAGATTTTTCCTTATCTTTCATGTTAGAAGATAATTCCCAAAGAAGGCCATGGTCTCGGGGCAAAAAGACAAATAAAATAAACATGGAAACTAGAACGAAACAAACTAAACTTGAGAACATCGGTCTTCCAAACAACAGAGTTACACAATCCCAACCTTTTCTGGTCAAAAGGTCTAGAAAGAATAATGTGACCTCTCCCCTCTCCAACCCCCCCCCCCCCAGGGTTTCCAGTGCTTTTGGTTTGAGAAGCAGAGTGTGGTCCTGGGCTCTGTGCTGTTGTGTGGCCACATCTGAGGCTCTCTCTGTGCCCAGCTGCAGAAGGGGTCAACTGCTCCCCCAACCACACACACAGCAAAGCTCAGTTCCCACTAGGTTAGCACCTACTCTGCATCTTCATCCATAAAGGTCTGATGTCTTCTTCAGGTTCTGACTGGTTCGGTGGGGGCTTCTCTGCTCTCTTCATGTAGACGCAATGGCATGGCATGAGGAGATGCTCCAGTCACTGTTGCAGCTTGTCATCTCTGATGGCAGGAGCCCCGGCACTGTACTGAAGTTACTGTGGCTCTTGGATGGCAGCAGTCTGTGCTGTAGCAAGGGTCACAGCCTGCACCCAGCAAACCCTCTGTCCATCAAGCTTGTCTTTGGCACCTTCCGTTCCCTCCTTCTCTCTCTTTTCCCTCCACTGGTCCTTGGTCATGTGTAGTGTGCCATCTGCCTTACCACCCCAGCTCAATCATTCTGGAATTTTCCTTTCTCCTCAGGTTAACTGCATCTTAGCAGACAAAGGCAAATCTTTAAGCTTTGCTCTTAGGGCAGAGCTTGGTGGCTTTTCAAGGAACAAAAATAGTGAAGAGAAATTTTTCTGGGACATTGGCTGTCCTCAGGAACTCAGTGCACACCAGACAGACATTGCTTCCTTTCTCTAATCCCAGCTTGTGTATATCTGTGTTGCCTTGGCACAGGGACTTAGGTAAAATGTATTCCCAGCCAAGAGAGATCCTCTTCCTTCTTCATCGCTCTTCTTCTAAAGAAAGGTCCTTCAGTCCTCAGGAACCAGAGACAGTGTGAAAGGGGCCTACAGCGTCAGCTTCCAGTGCTTAGAGAGAGATCACCATGCAGTCAGGGAAAATAGAGATTTGGTAAGGAGGAGACAGGGAGGCCCCAAGCCAGAGCAACTCTGATGGTGTGTGCACACGTGTGTGGAAGTTCATGTGCAGGTGTGTGAGGCTGCAGGCAGAAGTCCAGGGTCTGTCTCAGTAAGATGCTTTTTATGTCAAGTAACAGAAAACTCAGCCTACAAGGTCTTCAACATGAAAAGGATTTATTATTTCCAATAACAAGGAGTTTGGACTTTGGATCCTAGGTTGATTAACTCAGAGAATCAACTGTATCATCTAAGACTCAGATCTCATCATCTGCCTGCCTTCTTATCCTCAGCATATCCCTCAGCTACCCCTAGGATGCTCATAAGATGGTTATAAAATATGGCAACAGCCAGTGGAAGTAAAAAAGATTTTCTTTCTTTATTTTCATGTGACTCTTATTAAAGAGAAGTTTCTTTCTTAGAATCCTCCTGGAAATTTTTCTCTATTTTATTGGACAATAGCAAGTCACATGCCTCCTCCAAAACCAATCACTGATAAGATAAATTTGAATGTCTTGATTTGATTATATCAATCAGTATTCCAAAAGCAAGTCAGGGAGGGAAGGAACCTTGAATAAAAATTGGGGAGTAGCAGATTCCTAGGGAACGGGCTTTGGTTGTACTGTTTCGCACCTGGCCTGGTGGACCACACTTCCCCATCGCCACTCTGAGGCCATACGGGAAGGCACACCTGGTCTCTTCCTGTCCAGACCAGGCTCTGGGAAGCCTAGACAAAAGTCCTTTCCACTGTTCACTATTGAAGGCACCTACAGCTTCAGACCCAAGTATGTGAGACAGACAGAGGGGTGTGTATTAAAGAAAACACTTTTCCAGTTGTGCCATGTCATATTAATAGCAATATTAAATCCTGTCTCAATATTATTCCTGTCTCAACTTTGATTCTAGGATCCCAGGCTTATTCTTACCACTTTAGTCAAAATGAGTTTCTGAGTTAGTTCTTCCAAAGTTCTGATAAAGGCACACAATCATGGGACCCAATTCCCAGCCCTGACTATAGAGCCTAGAGTCCACTCTGTCCTCATAGCTTCCTGTTCCTCTCCATAGGACTATAACAACACCCCTCCAGACCGTTAGTCCATCAAGCCCCCTTCCCTGTCTCAGACCTTACCTTCATTCGATCACTGTCCAGATCTATACCCAAGAACACTCATTGCCAGAGCCAATCTTCCCACAGCTGTGACCAAAGTTCAGAGCAGGTGACTCTTGAGTCTCTTGGCAACTTTCTGTTAGGGAGAGGGTAGCAGTTTCCCAAGGGCCCTTGAGAAATAGGACAGCGAGAGGGGAACACTGAAGTGTGTACAGGGTGCAGCCTGAGACTTTGGTGTTGGCCATTATCTTGCTAATCTGTGGCTCCACGAGTGCCCCCCCCATACCTGTGGGGGAGACACTGCTGCCTGCTGGTGTGACTCCTGGGGGATGCTCTTTCTAATTTCCTGGAAGTACATGCTAGCAATGCCAGACGGAACTCACACCTGGCTGTTCCAGGCTGGCGGGACAAACTGGGACCACTCTGAAACACATTTGGTGGTTAATTTCATGAACTTGTTTCTGTACTTCCTTCAGGGTGTCAGGATCAAGATCAAATGCATTCATGAGGTTTAAGTCAACTGTCAAGGATGGCCTGTTAATGTGGAGGGGAGACAGCCCCATGAGACCCAACAGTGACTTCATTTCCCTGGGCCTTCGGGATGGAGCCCTGGTGTTCAGGTAACCCTCTCTCTGGCTGCCTTCAGCAGCACCTTGTGATCTTTCTCAGACTGGACGGATCATGCCTACAGCAATTCCACAGGGAGCTAAAATACAGGCTGCTGCAATTGGCTGTGGCCTAAAGCTCCAGGTTTGTTTGAGGTCTCTGATTTTTCTTTTCAGCATCCATGTTTTCAGATGGTAGACTGCAAATTATAACTTGCCAGACAAATTTGGCCCACTACACATTTTTGAAAATAAAGTTTTATTGGAATGCTTTCATACATATGCATGCATATTTCATGTGTATATGTTTGTGTGATATGGCATATTTGAGTAGTTTCAGTAGGAAGGTATGGTAGAGCCTAAAATATTTATTATATGGCTCTCTGCAGAACAATTCTGTGACCTCTTCTAGTGTGTTACTGCTGTAGGTGCCCCACTTGCAAATTAGGAAGGAGTGAAAAGAGGATTTTGATACTGCCAAGCATAGTAGTGAGTCCTCAGCTTAACACTTAACAGCTCAGGAAGATGTGAAAATCTAAACTCCAAGAGTCCTGGCTTTAAGTTCCATGCTGCTTCCCTTTAGCTATGGGGACAATCCCTGCTTTCCAGTCTCCTGCTACAAGAAGAACAAAGCACAGATTCCTGCCGCAGTAGATGGACTCAACACTGGCATCTTTGCAAGCACTTCTTGATACGAATAAGGCAGCCCCAAGAGTTCTTACCTCTTTTTAGTGAATTTAGATTGCTCTCAGTTGTGTCAAATGGGTAGTTATGCTGTAAAGAATTACTTGGACAGTATCTCCCTACTACAATGGATGGAAGCCAAGCTTCTGTGGGACAGGATCTGCTTGTCTTGTGAAATATGAAAAAGCTGCTCTGGAGATTGTAATGACACTTCCTTACTTGAGGTTAGAAATGGCTCGTTTATACCTGTGGTTTTCCAAGTGTGGTCCCTGGGCCAGCAGCATCTGTATCACCTGGAACTTTCTTAGAAATGCAAGTCCTCAGGCCCTATCATAGATGTACTAAGCCCAAGCACTCTAAGCCCAGGGCCCCGTAAGCCATGTTGTAACCTCCCCAGGTAATTCTGATGCCATCCAGGTGTGACAGTGTCTGCTCTCTTTAGATCCTCTGCCCGACGGACAGACATTTCTTGGGCTTTTCCTACCTGAATCACCTCCACCCAAGGTGATGAGCCCAAGTGATCGCTAAATGGTATGAAAGCAATGGAAGTGAAATAGACAAAGGAAAGAGAGCCAAACACGGAGATAATGAAGATTTAACTCTGGGGCTTTTGTCTGCCCTGTGCTGGGATTACTGAGAGCCAGAGGAGGATAACATAAATCTTTTCAATTTGAAGAAAAGGCATTTGAGAGGAATTGTCACTTGTCCAACATCTCACTTGCCCGTAAATAGCAGAGCGTGCTGAGGGGATTCCGTCCTATGATCGTGGGGACTTTCAGTAGCCCCATGTGGCTGAAGCTGGAGTCTGGCAGGGGCAGGTAAGGAGCAGCTTGTCACTGTCTCCAGCTGCCAGCACACCACTGCCCCTCCCAGCCCACCCCTAGTTGGCCCAGAGGTCAGATAACCGAGCTCTTCACACCCGGGATCCAGGCTGGCTGCCTTGAAGCCATTTTCTTGTGGTTTTCCTGTGGTTAACCTCGTCAAGGCCTCAAGTACTTGATTGTGCCCAGAAAAGAGAACCGAAACAGTAGCTGAGCTGTGGGTGGGAAGGCCCAGTTTCCCCCCTGCACTGCCAGCCAAAGTCTATTCACCACCCACTCCAGCCCCACAGGGAAACTGGAGAAGCTCGAGGCGCCCCCCAGGTCCCACGGGCTCCCTTCCCAGCTCTGGAAAGGAAATGCCCCCCTGCCCCTCCCTCTCACCCTCCCCCTGGCCCTCTCCCCCCCCCTCCCCCAGGCCTTCCAACAGCTGCTCTCCATCCTCATGGTTCTGAAGTTACCATTTCTTTCTCAGGTTGTTGAAAATGGTCCCCATGTTTTTCTTTTAATCCTGGAGACCTGATTGTATCCTCTGTAAGATACACCAGGGAGCCTGGGTTGAGGTCGCTGTCAGTGCTGGGCCCACAGCCACACCATTGCTGCCCAACTGAATCACCTTCTTCTGGACGGCTACCAGCCACCCTCCCACTCAGTACAGACCAATGGAAGTGCTGGGCTGGGTCAGAGAGCAATTATGGTGTAGGCTGGTGGCTTGAAAATGCCAGCAGGCAGAGGGGCACTCAGCAGCTGGTTTCAAAGATAGATTGCGGTGCCAGCTTCCTGGGATTCTGATGAAATAGGCGTGGATAGGCACTGGGTTCTCATTGGAAACAAGCACTCCAAGTGACTCCAGGTACCACAGCTTGAGAAGCAGGGTCTGAAGTGACTTTGGAATCAGACATGCCCGAAACCCATGGCTGTGTGATCTCATGCAAGTTACCTAACCTCTCTTGAGTTTCTGTCCCCTCATCTGTACATGATTAAATGGAGGATTAAATGAATTCATTCCTGTAAAGGACTTAATGTGAGGTCTAGAACAACTAGTTACTAGAGATAATGATAATTAAAAATTACTATGGTTAGTTAAGTGTTTTCTGGGCTCTGGAAGCCCCCTGCCTCAGAAAGATAACATGGGCAAGGAAGTTAGCATTGATATAATTGCTTCATTAAATTTGGTTAGTATTACCATTATAGTTATTGTTAACAATATAGCTGTCTTGGCCTTGAGGACCTTACATCAGTAGAGCCCAGAGAGTAAACTTTTTTACAGGGTGGACAAACCATTCTTGAGGTTTCAGTGTTTGAACCAGGTTCAGAGCAAACAGAAGAAGATGATGAAATTGCCTCTTAACTTTCTAGACTTTCTTGCTTCACCTAAATGCAGGTTCCTTTTGCTAATTTAGGACTCAAAGCCCTTCTGCCAGAGAACAGACAAGAGCGATGGAACTCTAAAAAAAATTACTCATAGTTTTGGTCAAGGTTGAACATAAAAAAGGAAATCAAAGGTTTTAGCTAAAATGAGTGTGGTTTTCTGTTTTATTTTTGCTTTGTTTCATTTTGCTTTGTGATTATATGTGGAACATAAAACATCCTGGGAGGGTTTACAAACGTCACTTGACTGACATTCTGAATGTCACGCTTCCTGACATTCTTTCCCACTAATTTTGACCCTGTAACATTTTTATGCAGCAGAGAAAGGTGAGGGATCTGACATTAGCCAGGTGCCCTGTGCCACAGCTTAAAGGGACATGATTAAAAATGTCATCCCATGAAAGCATGGAGGTGACCAAGTGGTTTCCAGATGGCCTCCCTGATGGCACCTCCTGGTGCCCACCTTGGTGCCCAGCCCTGTGGCCTTTACTACAACTTCATGTCGAGTGGATCACTCATCCTGGAAGCCACTTACAAGGCATTGGCAGAGCAATCAGACGAGCATTGGTTCATTGTTCCCCTTGGGTACCAAGGTATAACTCATGTGCAGGGCACACATGTTAGGTGTGCAGCTGGGTGAATTTTAAAATACGTAAATGCTGTTTCCCCCACCACCCAGAAGAAGATATAGAACACTTCTCCCACCCAAAAAAGATTTCCTCATCTCTCCTCCAGCCAAGGTAACCACTGTTCTTAGCCATTTATCATTGTACAAAAGGGGGAGCTATTCCAAGGTAGGTATGTGTGTCTGGGCAAGCAGGCGTTCCTTAGAGGATCTGAAATCACACAGGGTGGGGGCTTGGAAGGTCAGGCCATGGAGAGACCAACAGAGTTACCCCCATGACTGCAGTCATCTGTTGGGCTCCACCTTGAGTCCCTCCCTTAAGCACATTCTGTCCTCTGCATGAACAGGAAAGCCATCCGGCTGGAGAAGGGGAAAAAGCCCACCCTGGTCCAGGTGGGACCTGATACAACTGCAAAGGTGTCTTTCACTGGCCCATAAGCACATTCCAGCCCAGCCTCCCCAGACCAGACCCTGGATTCTGAGATCTGGTTGTTCCTGATGTGTTTATAGCCTGGGATTCACTCACACATGGCCACTCCTCCAGAACCTGGACGAATTTAACTATGGGTGACGACTTTCTCCTTCCCGCTGGTTCCTCACCGTGTATTGTGATCCCCATATTCAAGCACACTAAGTGCTTCAGGTGTCTGGGGTGCTAGGATTGTCTGTTTGTTCCTACTATGTGCCTTGCTGTTTTAGTCAGCTTTTTCACTGCTGTGACTGAAAGATCTGACCAGAACAATTGTAGAAGAAGAAAAGTTTATTTGAGGGCTTATGGTTTCAGAGGTCTTACTCCAGAGAAGGCTGGCTCCATTTCTTGGGGCTCCAGATGAGGCTGAGCATCATGGTGGAGTGTGTGGCAGAGGGAAACAGCTCACATCGTGATGATCAAGAAGTAGAGAGAGCAGACTCCATGCTCCAGATACAAAATATATACCCCATAGCCACGCCCCCAGTTAACCACATCCTCCAGCCACATCCCACCTGCCTCCAGTTACCACTCAGTTAGTCCCATCAGAGATTAATTCACTGATGGGGTTAAGACTTTCACAGTCCAATCATTTCTCCTCTGAACTTTCTTGCATTGTCTCACACGTGAGCTTTTGGGGAACACCTCACATCCAAACCATAAGGCTATCTTACTTAACACACCTGCAATCCTTTAGGGAAGGTATTCTTACCTGCAGTTTACACATGAGGAAATTTAGTCTCAGAAAGAGGATGCAAATTGCCCAAGATCACAGACTAAAAATAAAATAGCAAGTCTGGGGATGCAGGCAGGTCATTGGAACACAGGGTCCATGCTCTGCCACCTCAGATAGAAGAGCCACATGTAGTATCCAGCTAAGTGTCTGCCAACCAGCTCCTAAATTGGCTTCAGAGTCACACATTTCTTCGATAAGCATTTGGCCTCCACTTAATGAAATCTGAAAAATCCACCCCCAGGCTGCTTTGTACAAGGAGACACAATGTGGGCAATTTCATTAGAAAACAGTGGGGTTGTCAGGGTCGGGGTGGCAGCTTTGTCCCATGGTTGGTCAAGTCATTGTGAGGTCTATTCTTGGTTAGATGCCAACTGGCTGTGTGACTTCTTTGAGCCTCTGTTATGAAAGAATGACCTACGTGGCACTTTCTCTGGGGAAAGCCCAGAGCCCTCTGCTCTTGCACGGCTCTCAGAATGAGTGTGTGAGTGCCCTGGTTTTCTTCCCCACAGTCCTGTTTCTTGGGTATGGGGTGAAGGAGAAACACCTCCTCTCATGAGATGAGGGACAAGCTGCCCCCGGTAGAACATCAGAAGCCTGATCACATAGGGTTTATGATATTATCAAGTGAGGACCAGGCAGTTGGCCCAATGCCCAAGGGAGAGTAGTCACCTCACTAAATATTTGTTGAATTGAATTAAATTAGAATAATTGAATGAACATTGGATTAGGAGGGATTTTTCTCTCTGGTAAACAACATGTTCACGTCTTCTGACACCTTTAGGGTATCAGGGCATCTGGAACCTGAAATAAAAAATTGGAAGGTACCAGGCGGTACCTGATACCAGAGTAAAATGGGGAATGGGGCAGATAATACACCAAGTTCAAGTTCTAGTCATTGGCTTTGCAATTTTAGGCAAATTCTCTTAATCTCTTTAGGGCACAGCTACTTGTCAATGTTCTGTTTCAAAAAAACAAAAACAAATGAAACACTTGTGTTAGTTTCCTAGGGCTGATGTAACAAATTACCACAAGTCGTGTGGCTTAAAATAATAAAAATCCCCCCCTCACCGTTCTGCAGATTAAAAATGCAATGTGTGGCCAGGGCTGGTTCTTCCTGGAGGGCCTGGAAGAACCCGTTCCCTGCCCTGAAGTTCTGAGGGTGCTGGCGATCCTTGCTGTTACTTAGCTTATAGTTGTCTGTGTTTTTCCAGTCTCTGCCTTCATCATTGCATGGAATTCTCCCCATGTGCCTCTCTGTGTGGCCATGTCCCTTCTTCTTAAAAGGATACCAGCCAGATTGGATTTATGGTCACCCTGATCCAGTGTGACCTCACCTTAACTAATTACCATCCTAACTAACTAACTAAAGACCCTGTTTTCAAATAAGGTCATATTCTTAGGATCTGAATAGAATCTAAAAGTTTGGGGGGAACACTATTCAACCTAGTATATCACATTACAAATGATAAAAGTCCTTTTCATTATCCCTGATAGTATATGCTGAGCATATAATTATAGTACTGATGCTTCCAACCCATGAGCTTAAAAAGAAAAAAATCAGTCTTGATGATGTTAGGCCAAGCAAAGTAAGCCAGCCCCAAAAGACAAGCATGTCATGGTCCACTTACATGAGGTATGTAGAATAGTCAAATCCAGACAGAGAGTGGGAGGGGAGTGTCAGGGGCTGGAGGGAGGGAAGGATGGGGAGTTATTATTTAACAGGTGCAGTGTTTATTTTGTAAAATGAGAAGAGTCCTGGAGATTAGTTGTACAGAGGTGTAACATTACTCAGTTATATACTAAAAACTGGTTAAGATAGTAAATGTTGTGCTCTAGGCATTTTATCACAATTGAAAATTAAAAACAAAATTCATGGCTCCCTGAATTCATTTATGGGTGACCTGAAAATTGAATACCTTGTGTTGTGTTAAGGAAACTGCATGCTGCCTTCCCAAGAAACACTTTGCAATGAGAGTCCTCTGTGAATGGGTATGTGTCTGTGCTTCAGGGTTTTACTCTGTTCACTGTCTTGTTCTTCTCCAACACCCTTAGCTACAACCTGGGCAGTGGTGTGGCATCCATCGTGGTGAACGGCTCCTTCAATGATGGCCGGTGGCACCGGGTCAAGGCTGTCAGGTGAGCACCTAGCCCCGTGAGAGGCAGAGTTCGACTGGGCCATACTGGGAGGTGGAGTCCAGTTCTCCTTTAGTCCCACTGTCCTGTTCCCCAGCCTTGCCTGGCATCCCCCAAGTCCCAGCTGTGCCCCCCCACTGACACTCACAGGCCAGAGGTCAAACCCCACTTCTGTAAAAAATGGTGACTTTCTGGAGAAAAAAAAACCACTCTCCAATGATTAAACTGAGGAGGGCCTCAAAATATAGTGCAGTGAGGTTCCAGGACTTCAAAGAAGGTCCCCATCTTATCACATAGGTCAGAGTGGCAGAGTGGCACCATGCGGCTGGCTCTGCAGTTGTAGGACTTCCTATTGGCATTCCTACTGTTCTCTTTGTTTTACGTTTTTAGACCCTTATAATCCAATGTGGTTCACAGGGCCCCATGCATGTATTTCACTCCTCAGTAGGAGTCATTATCCCAACTTCTGATTTTCTTTAGGTGAGCCATTCTTTTGCTCTTCTTTACAGTTTTAGTTTTATTCCTTACATCTATATTCCTAACAGTGCATTTTCAGGAGCCAAATAGTGGGTCAGTACTGGTAGTGTCAGTACTGTGTGTTAGATGAAGGACCCAGAAGATGAATCCTGTCTGGGGAAGTCTATGGGTGAAGTCAAAGGTGAGGCCTGAGAAATACTGGGCTCAGCAGGGTCAATTTCCTGCTTAGCTTATGTATAGGCTGGATGGGAATAGCCTTGCTCTGACCACTGTGCCTGACTTTGATACCATAGCGGAGGTGTGAGGATACAGAATCAGAGCTGTGCTTACCTGCTGCCAAGTAGAAACCACTCGAGATAGATGTGTAGTGATGTTGATGAAACCCCAACTCTGTCTTGTTGAAAACATAAATGTTTTCCCATGATGAATACAAACAAGAGTGCATCTCAAATTTGTTCTAGAATAGAAGTCAAATATACAAAGTCAAATCTAACTCCAGAGTACTCCAAACCATGTGCCTTCTGAGTTCCTCATTTCTCTCTCTCGGTACCATCTTTATAAGGACTTGCACAGACGCATCCAAAGGAATTTGAAATGTGTCAGTTCTTAACTCCAACTGCCCTCAATCCCTACAATTCCTTCTCTGGGGACATCAGGGATCAAAGCACCCTGCTCTCAATTTCCTTGGGTAGAGATGGTTGGTAGAATACATGTTATAGAAGGATATTAAAACATGCACAATTGTTGTGGTTTGATTATATGTATCAAGATACACAGTGGTGGGGACACCAGGTCCTTCTTTAATATCATCTGGGGAAACTGATGTTAAGTGACTTTCCTAAGACTATACAACTGCTATGGGCAGAGCCTAGATCAAGGCAGCCTACCACAACTAGGATTTTGGACTTGGAAGGGACAAGGCAGGGGAATGTTCCTCCAAATAACTTCAGATGTCAGAGTGGCAGAGTGGCACCATGAGGCTGGCTCTGCAGCTGTAAGACTTCCTATTGGCATCTTGATACCATTCCTAGTGGGTCTTAGGTTGCAGTGAGGACGGAACAAAAAGAGCTGTATGGGTGGAAGGATTCAAGCAGATATCACGAGTTATGAGCAGACAGCCGAGAAGAGATGGTATAACAGATCTAAGTGGGAACTGGTTCAAAGCCAAGCATATAAACCATGGCAAGAAGGGTGGGTGGACATCTTAATTCTCTGTTATAGACTCCAAAGTCAAAGATGGGAGAATCAACAGAGAGGAGATCCCTAAGAGGGGCTCTACTTGTACACTGTCTTGTTCTGGGTAATCCTGGTCTGGCAAGCATTATTCCTAGCAGAAGAGAGAAAACTTCTCACTTAATAGACATCTTCAGTGGCCGGATACTTTACACCCTATATTTTATCTTAGTTACTATTCATAGCAGTCTAAATTCTATGGTCTTCTCTTTATGGATAAGAATTATTATATGATGATGATGTTGATAATAGCAACACATGCTTTTACCAGTCTTTGTAAAGCAAGATATGTATCAGGTACCATGCTCTGTACTTGGCATGCACGACATCTGATCCCCATAAGAGCTTTAGAAGATGAGCATGGTTATTCTCATTTCAGATGAGGATGTTGAAGCTCCATAAATTCATTTATTCATTCGTCTACTGTTACAAGCCATATACCATTCAAGACACATGAAATACAACACTGAGTAAAACTGATGTCCTTGCCCTGGTCTTGGATTCTACTGGGAGGCAACAGACAATACGTAACATACACCATGAACAAGGACATTAGATATGATACTGGAAGGCAGGATCACTTGTTTTTCAAACATGCCACTGATTAGAAGACAATTTCTTTAGGGAAGGTCAGTGGAGTAGAAGAAGGAAACCGAGAGGGGCAGGAAAAGGGAGAAAACACAGAATAAATGTAACCAAATCACATCATGTGCATATGTAAATACACCACAGGGAATTTCACCTTTACTTATGTGCAGAAAGTACCAATCCAAAATAAATAAGTGAGCAAAAGAAGATCGGTAGAGTAGAGGAAGGAGAATAGGGGAAGGGAAAAAAGGAGGGGAAGAGGGGACAGTGGGGGAACAGGGACTGAAATGGAGTGAATCAAGCTCCATGCACATATGATTTTGTCAAAATGAACCCAACCACTAGGTATAATGATAGGGCTGTAATAGAAAGAGGCAGTATCTTCATTTTTAAAATAGAAGAATGAAAAAAAATCTTAGAATTAATTAAATATAGTGAGCAAAAAAAAATGCAATATTTTAGAATGATGAAAAATTCAAAGGCAGAGCAGACAAGGCAAGTGACTGGGGACATTGCTCATCACAGCATGAAGGTATGAGAGTCCAGAAATGCACTTCCAAAGTGGGGATCCGTGCATGGTCTGTAGGGAGCAGGCAGACAGGAGAAAGCTCCCTCAATTCAGTGCCAGAAGAGTGGCTGTCAAGAAGGGGGCCTGGGCTAGTGCCCACCCCTAGTGCTGCAGAAGCCACCACTTTGGGTTTTGGCAGCCCTGGCATGTGGTAGTGATTTGATACCTTTTTATTGAAATGATTGAATTAGCTCCAAAAATAGCATTCTGTTTTGTTTTACATTCCTTTGCAGGGATGGCCAATCAGGAAAGATTACCGTGGATGACTACGGAGCCAGAACAGGCAAGTCACCTGGCATGATGAGACAACTCAACATCAACGGACCTCTGTATGTGGGTAAGTGACCTTCATGGTGGCCAAATCTAGATCAGGTCAGGGCATAAGATCAGGGTTTTTTTTTTTTTGCAAGTTCTCTGTTTGTTGTGCCAGGGATAGGTCAGTGAAATATCTGGAAATCAGGAAGCTGTCCTGATATTCCATTCTTCCATTTTCTGAACTTCTGACTCATGGCCTAGGGGACAGGAAGGGACTTACTCAGATGCTCTGTGCTTTGGACAGATCCACCAGGAAAACCATGCTTTTCTTGTTTATAGAACAGGAACCTGCTAAATATAGCTCTAGGAATTCTCTCTGAGGAAGTAGGATCTTTCTGGTCCACCTCAAAATAGAATGAGTAGCATATCTATAAATGGCTTATAATCTGCTAATACAGAACACAAAAAAAGGAAAAGATATCTTTAAATATTTTCCAAGTGAACTTCATTGAAAGCATTCAATATCAGTATATCTCTTTTGGTTTAAGATGCTATCACCTCCAATGACACAACATTTTGTCAACATTATACAACATCTCAAAATTCACTAGCTACTAATTTGGTTTCCAGGTGTTCATTTGAGCCACACTGTGAGTTGTGTATTTGTACCCTTTTGCTGTGTATGAAATTGATCCAAGTGAGCCTGTTCCTTCAAGGACAATGATAAAATAGATGTGCTACACTGGACAGTCTGTCCTATCAACCAAGGGATGTCAGTGGACACTCAGGTGCACCACAGGGAAGCCCCAACTTGCACAGCTGACATACTCTTTTTTTTACATACTTTTTTTTTTGACATACTTTTTTTTTTACTCTTTTACATACTCTTTTTTCCCTTGTGGCTTCCTGGCAGGTGGAATGAAGGAGATCGCTCTGCACACTAACAGGCAGTACATGAGAGGCCTCGTGGGCTGCATCTCTCATTTCACGCTGTCCACCGATTACCACATTTCCCTCGTGGAAGATGCTGCAGATGGGAAGAACATCAACACTTGTGGAGCCAAGTAACACCAGCTGGCCTTGCCCAGGGGACAGAGCCTCTATCTTGAGAGTCCCAGGGGCCCTGAGACCCTGCCCGCTGCCACACACAGAGGCCCGGGGACCAGGTGTGTTTCCTCTCATCAAGGGGAAAGTACACCCTGATGGGAAACTGAGCACCAAGACAGGAGGCCCTGGGTGGCCTACCCTGCTGACACTCTGTGGGCCAAACCCAATGGAGCACTGTGTGTCGGAAGCAACGGACTTTGTCCTTTGAATGCGTGGAGTCTGCCAGAGATCACACATCAATGCAAATTCCAGAGCCTGTCTGCTGTAACTGAATGAATGTGTTGTGATTCATAGTGCATAGAAGAGGAGAGAGAGAGAGAGAGAGAGAGAGAGAGAGAGAGAGAGAGAGAGAGAGATTGAGAGAGTTCGCATGAGCCCACAGAGCAGTATTAAAATACTTGTCCTTCCCTGGCTCATGACACTTACTCACAGCAGAATGACTGTGTGACCTTGAACTTTGAATTTCCCACCTTGGCCCTAATCCCTTCCACTCTCTGGTGGCTGGCCCAAAGGGCTCTCACTGTTCCATGAAAATAAAGGGTGGGGAAGATTAAACATAGAATCATGGTCATAATGCGGCCCCTCTCCCCAAGTGTACCTTTAATGTGAAATCCCTACTTTTTATAATATCAATCTAAGAAAATGGGCCCCATGATTTTGTAGCTGTACTTTTGTATGTGTCTATTTTTATAGCTGCAGACTGTCTACACGGTATACCTTAGGGTATGCTGGTAGTATACCCTAATTCTTGCACACTTTCCTAAAAATTTTCTCCCAAAGGAGACTTGGGGTCATTTGTGGTATCAATGGAGTGGAGGAGGTGACTTGGGTGGGCAACTCGGGAAGCTGACCATTCTTTTTTGGTACATGTTGGTTCTAGGGGATGAATATGAAGCTTTCCAAAATAAGCAGATTAAAAGGAATATGTGTTACCAAGGTGGGTCATTGTCATTCTGTTTCAAGAAAAGGGAATATCTTTAGTAAACTTGAATAAAGGGGATGAAGAAGACTAGAACTCATTCATTCATTCATTCATGGAGATGATACTGATTCACAGAGGTCACATTCACAAGTGGACACTAAGGCAGCCGGTGCTTCCAAGCTGTACAGGGAGTGGGGGATGTGCCCTTAGCATGGGCCAAGCTTCTGGACAAGAACCAGAGAAACGAAGCTTCTTTCTGCACTGTCAGCTGTGTCCCTCTGCTATGCACACATGTGACTCCATGTGCAGCTGGCTCACTGGCAGATCCCCATGCAAAGTTTGCTAAGGGAAAGGTGAGATGAATGCATCCCCAAAGAGGAGGGAAATCTGATGCAAGAGCCTATAAATTAGTCCCAGGCATGACCCCACTCTTGTTTGTGTAGCATTCATTCAGCAAAAAGCTTTGAGCTTTGTGCAAAAAGCACAGTTTTAGGCACATGAAAAATCCTAAAAGATGAATAGATACCCTAGAGAGGTTCACCTTGCACTTCAACCTTCTGCCTCCTGTCTTTGAGAACCTTCCAACACCAGGATCCCCACCTACCTATCCTTCGATGGGTAAATGATGACAACAGTAACAATAATGATTATCCTTTGCTATGTGTGTCACCTTGTGAGTAGGATGGGGAGATAAGGCACCTGGTGGGAAGTATGCCCTGCCACCTCCAATCACCATCACCCCAGCACTTTTTCCTTGGAGAATGCTGGGGCCAGTACTTCCCAGTATACAATGGAATTGCTTTTACAGCACATTTGCAATGGATTGACTCCAGCTGGAGGGAAAAAAAAAAAAATCTTTAGTAAAATAGCCAGCTGAGCTGAAGTCAGAGGGTTGCCTTGCAGATGAGCTCTTGTTCCATGCAAGAGTTATCCAGAGAAAAAGGCAGTGACCCAGGGATGAAGGTGTGGGGTGTGTGTGTGGAAACTGCAGAGGACTAGGAAGCACTTTCTCTCTGGGTGGGAAGCAGCTGGAGCTGAGGGGAGGCGCTGACCTGGTTTAGGATTAAGGCAATAGGGATCCCGTAGGTGAGAGAGCATCAGAGTAGAGGGACCCAAGAAGACGGTGGGGGGCCAGGTAGGAATACAGGGTCAGAGACAGTGTATCCCAAGCTTGAAACAAGGCTTGTCCATCCTCTCTGAGGACAAATCCGGAAAATGTGGGATCAGTTTATATCAGAGGTGGCGTGAAGATAAAGATCTTAACCTCAAACTGAAGTTAGACCTCAGTTCTAGGGGCAAGAGAGCTGGGAAGGATTCTGCTTGGCTTGTGATGTCCCAGCTCTCTAAGTGTATCTGTTATCTTTTGCCACAGTGATGGTGCATAGTAACCACAAAACCTCCGTGGCATACAGCAGTGTTTATTGCCTACTCACCCTGAGTGAGCAGCTTGGCGGCTCTGGGTTGGCTAAGCCCTTCTTCTGGTCTCAGCTGGATGCAATCCCATGTGTGGGGGTTGTTAACTTAGGGTGGCCTCTGCTGGGGTGGTAAGGTAACTTGAGTCTGTTCCATGTGTCTCTCATCCTCCTTCTATGACAAGCGGGTTAGCATGAGTGTCCCCTTCTCCTGATGGTGAAGGAGGACCAGAGGGCCCGAGTAAAGGCCTTGGGCCTTTTACAGTAAGTGCGGCATGCCCACATGATGCTTCCGCCACATCCAATTAGTCAAAGTCTGTAGGTTCAAAAGATGGAAGAAATAGACTCCACCTCCGTGGCGATACAGTGACACCTCGCCGTAGTGGGAGGACCTACTTAGTCACCTGGAAAACTGAGTGAGTTCAAAGAGGGGTGAAAAATCCAGACCATTAACAAGGCCAGTCCTCCACGACAAGCAATGCTGTTGAAATGAGTGGTATGGTAGACCTGAGGTGGCCACCCCAAGTTCAGCTCTTCTGCAGGGACCCTTGGAGCTGGGGACAGGTTTATGAAGTATTCAGTGACTGGCCAGACCAGGTTTCATAGGAGTAGCATTTGCCTCTCCCGTACCCTATCTACCTGCCTGTCTCCCTTATCTATCTGTCCTCCACCTGTTGCTGACACTTGACAGTCGATTGTTGCTCTGAGGAGGGACCAGCAGGGACACCGGATCTCTGCTTTGGCTTTTGGGTAGCTGCTGTGGTGAGAGGCTGGTTGGAGAAGGCTGGCTGGGTTCTTGGGGAGCCTCCAGGGAGCTCCGAGTTTCATTCCATCCCTGTCCTGCAGAGGAAAGATATTGTGAGACATGCGTTCCTGAAAAACTTTTGTCTACAATCAGGATCTGAGGAAATTCCCCAGAACTTCCCTCAGGTTCTGAGCAAGGCCATAGGGGTGGACAAGGGAAGGTAGTGATCTTGCTTTTCCTATACAAATGGACTTTCGCAATCCCGTCTGTCTCCTCCAGGACCCCTAGGAGGTCTGCCTCAGGAAGCTCGGTGGGGTCTTCTGGGTCCCCACACTGCCCAGAAGCTTGTCTGGCCCTGGGCCACCTCTCTGAATGGCTGCCCTGCTCTCTGGCCCTCTTATTTGCCTTTATTTTTCTGACCCAGTCCAGTCCCAAGCTCCGGGCCTGCTCCAACACAAACAGGCCTGCTGCTTTCCACTCACTCCCTGCCTGGGCTTCACAATAACTAGCACTTTGCTTCCGACATCCCTCCACTCCTCTCCTCCGCCTCCCATTGCCTCCCCTCCCGCCTCACAGGGAGCTGTCTCCTCCCTGAGTGGGAGGAAGGATCTCGGAAATGTGCCCAGAGCTGGCAGGCTGAGTGCGTTCCACTTGGAGGAAACGCGGCATTTTTCACCTTTAACCCAGAAAAATATGGTTCTCAGAAAGCTTGTTTTTAGCACTGCAAGTTCCCAAAGGAAAAAGAATAGGGAGGAGGAGGGGCCCCTAGCCCCTCACTAGGCTCTGACAACTAGCCCCCCAACCCCAGAAGGCCATTCTTCCAGGAGGGGAATCGCCCAAGGGCAGCCTGCAGGGGCCCCAGCTAAGACTGAAATTCCTGTTCCAAGAGAAAGGCAAGGCATCAGCCTGGACAAAGCCTCAGCTGCTTCCCGTTCCTCTCTGCCTCTTCCAGCCTCTGCTCAGCCTAGGAACTCACAGCACAGTAGCTGCCTCAGGAAGGTAAAGGTCCCCTGCATGCTGGGAAAGTGCTCTACCACCGAGCCACAGTTATTTCTCAGCATGGAGATTGTGGCTTGTTCAACTGCATCATAGTCAGGTGCACACAGCACACACTGAACAAAGAAGGAAATTAAAGTGGGCCTGCCTCAGCCATCAGAAGGCCACAAAGTACCAAGTCTGTGGAAGCATCGTAGCTAGTGGGCTTCTGTGAAAGTTAACAGGCTGTCCTTAGGAAGTTCCAGCTCGCAGGTGGCCCCACTGGGGCCAGTAAAATGACTAATCCGATTCCACAGTCTGACTGGCTTCTGGGATAGGCCCTCTGAGTAATTAATTGCACCTCAACCTCACGTTCAAAGAATGTTCACATACTTGATTTTAACAGTCCTCCTTCTGTGATGGTCAAAGCAGATGGGCAGGGCCGGTTTGACTTGGGGAGAGAGAAGCTGTCCAAAAGCACTAGATGACTTGCCCATTCATCCACCATGAAGATGAAACCATGATACTGCACTAGGGAACTCTTCTCTCCTTACCCTGCCTGCCCTTCAGTCTGGTATAAGCTGCTCCAGGATGCCAGGATTATTAACTGGCATTGAGGGGGCTTCCTCAGACTAGCAGTCCTGGGCAGTGTATTCACAGGGGTGAGGGGGATCCGTGCAGAGGCCAGTTCCCAGGGGCTGCTTGCCAGTGTCTCAACATAGCTTCAACGAGAGAGACTTCTTCCCAAGGCTCCTGAGTTCAGCAAATCTGAAAGCAAATACTAGAGCTATTGGATCAGAGTGGGATTCAGGCCCCGCCAGAGGAAGTTGGGCCTGGATCGAATCCTTTCCCTTTTCTGCATTTCCTTCATCTCCACAAACAACCTCCTTAGCTCAGGGGAGTTGTA